CAGTTTTTTAAACCCCTTCAGCCATCTTAATAGGATAATGTTCAAACAACCTTGAGAGTCTTGAATGGAAGTGGCTATTAGTGCAAAGTTGTTATTAACAACAGCACCTAAAGTTGCTGAACCTCATATGCTAGTACAGAATGTCTCCATAGCTAAATATTGGTTCTTTCTGAGTCATATTGGAACATTTGCTGTGAGTCAACTTGAAGCAAAACAACAAGCCCTGCAAACAAAGGATGTCCTTTTATCCCATGATCTGTGGTTGTGCCTTGACATGTGTTGGGCAGCACACTTCTGGAGCAAATGCTGAGACGCTAGAATTGCTGGAAGGTAAAGCAATAATAATCATAAATACCCAGCCAAATTTTCAAGAACACTGAAAAGATCCCTCTGCATGTGAAACAAAAATCAAAGAAAGTACTTCTGCATAAATATTTGGTTTAGGATTTTCATTTGGTTTAGGGCCTTTTTGTTATAGAAAAAGCAGGCCAAGTGAAGACAAAACCAGCCCTGAATTTCTAGTCTCCACCTTGGTCAGACTGTTACTAATTAGCATTTCAGACAATAATGATTTTTTTTTTTCTGTTTCCTATGCAGCCAACTTCTCAGAGCTGAAACACAGGACTCAGAAGGTGTGATGATATCTGTACTAAATGCTTTGACAGCAATGAAAAACATGTCTCGGGGTGTTAGTGAAGAATACCAGTGCAAACCATGATGTTTGGAAAAGTCTGGAGAGGGATTACCCAGAACTGGAACCCGTAGCACTGGGCTGAGGTAATCTGCCACAAGCTTCAGACCGACAGAGAGGAAGTTAATGCTTCCAGGCTGGCAGATGTTGGCTCTGGGTTCTAAAAGTCAGGAATGAGGAACCTTGGCAGAGCTTTTGTGAGCAGGGCTCTGATAGAGAGTGGTGGCTCCTCCTGGTCAAGGTGGGATCTCCCTGGCAGAGGTGTGACATGAACAAGAGTCATCTATTACAGATGCCTTTGGATGACTTTCTCTAAGTGTTATTTGGAGGATTAGTGATGATTTTAAACATTATGCTATCTGGCTGAACTGTGGTGAACTACAATCTCCTTTTCCCTTTTGGCTGCTTGAGCAGGCATAATGGATATGTTGTTTTATGCTTATGAAACAAAACCTGTGTTGAAACTGCCCAGCCTAGAAAGTCAGGGCCTTTATTTAATGGTGTTCGGAGAATGGTGCTCATGCTACCCCAGCTCTGAAGTTATCAGCCCTGCAGGCTTTTCTGGGACATTTGTCACTGTACGAAGTGCAGTGCTCATAGTCTTGGGCTGCAGCTGTGAGCACTGAGCACGCCTGGGGAACAAGCCCAGTGCCAGGCACTTGCAGAGAAGACAAGGCTGATAGCAAACCAAGAGGAGATGGCAAAACCTGGCAGGAGCAGGGCTGATCCCAGCTCCCCATAAGCAGCAGTGGGGACCTGCTCTGTCAGGAGGCTGCAGCTTCAGCTGAGACCTCAGCCGTGTCCCTGCCTCCTCCGGCATCAGGCCAGTCCCAGAACAGGTACCCAGAAGAGAGCTGCCACCTCCAGCACTGGTCACAGAGCCACATCTGTGCTGGGAACACGAGTGGAGGGAATGCTGCAGAAGCCAAGAGCTGACATGGGCATTGCCACTTCCTCTGTTATTTAAAGCATGATAGAAATGAGAAACACTTCATTGTAAGCAACAAATTAATACTATCTAAGTTCATTTGGCATGAGGATCTTTCCCTTCCAAGCCTGCCTTCCTGCAGCTGAGCTACCTCCTCACCAATATATGATTGTGCTTAATAACACACACTTGCCAGCAAGTATCTTGCACTTGCCTGTGTGAAACATCTTATCTCTGCCTGCCTTGATATTTATTTAAATATTAGTGAAGATAGAAAATATATGTAGGAAGGAGATAAAACAGCAGTCTGTAAGACTCTGGGTTATCCTATAAGGTTTATACCTTATCTTAGCTATGCTCTTGCTTCTTGAGTCATCTTTGTCAAGATATTGCCACCCATCATGACATGGGGAATCAGTGCTTGGATTTCACTCAGTGCTGCGTGAAACGCAAGTCCAGGAGTTCAACAGTCTCCCTTATCTCTGCTCTGACACAGCACATTAGACATGACACTAGAGAACACTCCTCAATATTTTATTTAATATGATGCTAAATTTTATTCTGTTCCTTAACAACTAGAAACAAAACATATATTTGTAAACTGATGGCATGTTTGGACTACCTGCAAAACTCTGTAAATTTTTCTCTCTTAAAACACGATCTTCCTTAAGTAGCAGCAAGCTACTCTTGGTAAGTGTAAGGAATCAGTTGTTCCCCCCACACCACCAGACCTAGAATACTTCTCAGGAGTAGGTCAAACACCAAGCCATGATGGTAGGTGAGGAACCTGGATTTCCCAAGCCATTCACTGGTGTCCGCTCACTTTTTAGGAGTCTTTATGTTTTGGAGGGGAATCCTTGGCTTTCTCCACACATAGCTTGTTAGAAGTTTTGGGTACTTGCATTTTGTAGCTTACAACATCTTGCCAGCAGACAATGGAGCAGGTCATCACATAGGTCTCATGAAGGCATGAGATAAATTAAAATCACCTCCTACGAGCAGTCTACTTCGAAGCCACAGCAGACAAAGTGCAATTCATATTTCTGACTCAGGCTCTTCCAGGAGCCTCCTTCCCTTCCAAGGCCCTTGCAGTCTTTCCCTCAATTAATTCTCTACATTCTGCCTCTCTGAACTGTGCAGAATTAGCTAAACACATTTTGCCATGGCCAACCGACTATTGCCGTAATACGTAACTAGGGTCCACTAGGGAGGAGCTTACTCAGAAGTAATGAAACAAACTATTTCTGTATCTATCTTCATAGTGTTTTAGCATCAAAATGCCAAATGCAACAGGTAGGTGACCTACTGAAAAGATTCTTTATTATCACATAAAACAAACAAGAATCTCACAGAAGCCCAGCTGAGCTCTGACACTTGTGAGATTGTTTCCTGTTGTAGGGAGTTTGTCATGCTGGGTGGCCCAGTGCAACAAACCCAGTTAATGTTTGTTGCCTTTCCATTCCACAGGGTAGAATTTATTTTCCCCTGCCTTAAAACAAAGCATACAGGAATCTGCTGACTCTCCTCCATTCAGTTTAGTAATTTATATACCTTTATATATCTTTAGCCTATAGAAAGTTGGGCTATCACCTTCAACTTGTAGTCTAAGGATGGACCCCAGAAAGGTGCAGATGAACATACATAAACCCTCAGGTGGAGTTCATCAGACTTTAAAATGCCTTATTTCCATCTCCCCTGAACTGTTCACTCAGCCATATCTCAAATCATAACCTACTGAGTGAACTTTCAATCATTATTTTGGGTAGAGCATTCAGGTCCATAGCTAGTTTCCTAGGAGGTGTGTACAGGCTGGTTTGTGCAAGTAAGATGTATCAGAGTAGGCTTTAGCACTAGGATTGTTTTTCATGTAATGGAACAGAAAATTCTAACTCCATGGTTACCTTTTTTGTAGCAAGCATTTTGTACACTTACAGACATACTCTCAAGCAGCATGAAATCTCAGCAGCTTCCAGACCCTGGAAGTCTCTGTAATGCTTGTTAGAACATGTGCTTTGCAATCACAGCCCAATTACACAGCAGCACCACAGCAGCACCACAGTAGTGGCTGGAAATGGCATGGGCTGAGCAGGCAGGAGAGAGCCTCAGAAGCTACTGCTTTTTGAACTTTGGAAAGACATCTTACCAGCAAAGAAATCTCATAGCTTGTTGCATAGCTCTTAGTGAGAGGAATTATTTTTGATGTGCTCATTTGCAGAGTCACCCATGGGATTTAATGGCTGAGAACAAATTGCATGTTCCCAGGTTTCTCTGAACATTTATAAATTACACTGGTTTCTGCATGAAGTGAAAGTAATCTAAAAGCAAGTGTCGGAATAAATAAGTCTGGCTTCCAGGTGAGCGGATGAATTCTCACTGTGTTTGCAAAGCAGTGAGGAACATGTGACAAAAATGTCTGATTATCCACACTGTACCATGGGATAGAGATAAAAAACGAGTGAGTGAATGAACCCGGGGATTCAACAATCCAATCTAGATTTAAAACTTTCAGTGTAAGTGACAGCTAGATAAGGTCGGAGAGCTTAGCCATGAAGAGGCAACAGCTTGTCTCCTTTTCAGATATGGGAGAGAAAACCCGTATCAGCAGTTGTTTCAGAGCTATTAGAGGACTTAGTCTTGTAAGCAGAGAGTGGTTCTTTTTTACAGAATTTACTTGATTCCTCAAGAGCTGGGAAATATTCATGGCATAAATCATCAACCCTGGTTTCTCTGACCATGGGCTTTGATAACTTACTGGACACCATGAGAGCACACATGCATGCCTTGGTCCATCAAAATCATCATCCACTCTACTGACTCCAGACTGTCTCAGTTGTATAAAGGTGTCCAGTTATGAATATGCATCTAATGCATAATTGAGGTGAGTCCCATTTTCTCCCAATCAATAATATACACTTCCAAAATATTTACAAGTTGCAGATGTGGCATTGTCATGGCAACACACTTTTAAAAGAAATACGTTATTTTTCTAAGATTCACAATTTAGAAGAGGCAGTAAAGCTTGACATTACAAGTGACCCACTGATTCAACATCAGTGTGTAGAGCATCAGGAGACCCTGGGAGAGGTAGTCAGTGAGATAGATCCTAGTGGGGACTCAGGGATGGAACCCATAAAGCATCTGCTGTCACAAAGCAGTGCTGAGGCAGTGAGGTTATACAGAGTTGGTTAAATAAAAGAGTAGAAAGCAGCATAAGAGAAAAGGATTGATAGGAAAGTCATAATGGACCATGCCTGCATAACTAAAGAGCTGACAGGGCTCACAGACCAACTGCAGTGGTTGTATGGCTTAGGACACATGTATTTGATGATTATTGAACAATTGTTTGCAAGACTGACTGAATACAGGTAAAATTTGAGAAGGTGTTTGGCTTGATCAGGTTTTATTTGCTCAAAATGGAATGAGAAGAATTTTAAATCTTGATTCCATTTCACCAGACTATTCAAAATCCATCAAATTATGGTATGGTTTTTATATCAGCAGTACTGATGTTCCCTTGGGTAAGAACGAAATTGCTGTCTGTAACACAGCATGAAATCCCAACTTCACCTATTTCTATTTAAATTATTAGAAAATAAAGAAGCTAGCAGCAATTTATTCCCAAAGCCTTGTGTAAGCTCTCAAGATGCCAGCTGATTCATTATAGTCCCTTAGGTTATAGCATCTAGGCAGTAACCATTATTTTAACTAAACTGGTTCACCTGGGCATCTCCACCTGTTGCATTACTGTGGCTGAGCTGAATCATTCAAGACTCCTTTCCCCACAACCCCTCCACCTCTGTCTGTTGTGACCATTGTAACGAGTCTTCAGGCTTTTAACCTGATTGAACACAATGATTTACGTTGACAGTGATTTATCTGAGTTTCTCGACGAGGTAAAAGATGTGACCTTGTCTCACATCCTGAATCATTGCTGACAGTGACTGGATGCTATGATGGATGATCAGCCTGTTGGAAATTTGCTGGCTAATGAAACACCACAATCCGTTTTATCAAACCTTTGTACAGCTTCACCCAAGGGAAATCACATAACTCAGCCATGACACCAACAGCAGATTTCCCAGAAGGTTCCTTATAAAATACCAGGTTTTACTGTTGCTTATTACATGTACAATTTGCAATTTCACAGTGAATCTTTGAGCCTGTGGGTCCCATTCATTCTAGAAGGAGAACTGCACCCATGAGGAAGCTATTTCTGAGCTATGAATCTGCAGCATTAACAAAGGCGTAAGACTCATCACTACAATCACACACTGGTCTTCTCAGGCTGGAAATTAGCAATGCCAAGGGATCCTAGCTGGTTCTTCCAGCCTAATTTATAAACCACCTCTAAGATGAGGATCTCTAAAGGCTGCAGAGAGAAAACCAAGAGATATGAGCTATTCTGACACAAGACCTACAGCCAAATCTCTAGACAGAGTGTGGATGGAGAGGGAGGTGGAGGAAGGAGTGTGGGCTCATGAGGAAGGGGCAGCTACTGTGCTCAGATGACAGCTTGGTTTCAAGATGTTCCTTGGGATTTCCCAGAAGGCTGCTTTGGTTTTGTGCCAATGGCTGCAGAAAGGAACAAACTCAAAATAAAGTCACCGTAGACTAATCAGTTCACCACATCTTTGACCTTGAGCAAATTAGGTATTTGTTCCTTAAGTAATTTTCAGGTATGAAAACAGACAACTCTATTTCTCCTGCCTCATGATTTATTTAGATAGTTAGCATTTTTAATAATGGATATGCTTACTCTCTATGTTTCAGATGATAGGAGGAATTGGGTAAATCTCCTGAAATACAAAAAGGTAAGAGAGGAGGTAGGAAGAACTTGTGTCAAGACTACTGATATTTATTCTTTTTTAATACTTTGTCAGACCTTGTAAAAATCAAATTAAACACTCCAGTAGCATCAAAACATCATTATAAACTGATGGGCTAATTTCCATTTTCCGTTATGAACACCTTTGGAAAGAGAGTTCATAGTTTTGACATAAATTTCCCTCAGGTTTTTAGAAATCAGAGCTGGAATGCCTGTTTCAGTTTTATTGAAGCAAAAACTTTCAGTCGGGAAATGTGCATTGGCTTTTCTTGTGAAACAAAAAGAAATTACAACTTAGAAGCATGATATGCCTTGACAAATGAAAAATGGTCAGACCTGCTCAGCTTTATATGGAGCTGCATGTGTAAGAGCATGGTAAGACCATCATGCAGGACAGGAAATTCCCCACCAGCCACCAGGCTGGCACAGAACGATGAGGATCCAGCTGAGGGCCTGTGCGTACACTGTACACTGGGCCAGTGCAAAAATGTGCATGCGTCTAAAACCTGTGTGCAGGTGCTTTTGTAGACATGATGTTGAACTTCTAGGGCAAAGTGCAGATTAAATGAAACAACAGCTCTTTCCCCAAGAAGAATGATTTCGTTGGCACTGAAAAAAGGAAGCAGAAAGGAAGTTTTCTGGGGTCACATGTCAGTTATAACCTACTGAATTTTATATTCACAAAGTGTTGATGAAAGAAGATTTAAGAACTTTTCAGCTCAATGCACCACTAACGAGTTCTTCTAGACAAGCTAGACTACTGCAGTGCTTTTAGTTAAATGTAATCCAGCTAACAAGCCACCTGGTTTAAAATCCTGTTACACTTTGGATTTTTTTGATATTTAACAAATTGAGAGTCTGTGAATTGGACTAGTCACAATCCTTATGCTCAGTCTTTTTCAACAGGTTAGGTTTTGAAAAGCCCCCCGAAATCTAACTGTAAATCACGCAGCCCACTGTCACCCAACCGTGGAGATAGCAGAGATCTGTAAAATAACTGACGGGTAAACCCCAGATCTGGAGTGACTGAAGCTACAAGAGGGGCCCACACCAGTGACCTCTTCCACATGTTATGTTTGGCCTAGGACCTGTCCATATTTTGCACTGACAAGTGGAGAAGGAACCTCCTCGCTGATGACCTCAACCTCCTTCCTACAGAACAGCAACTGCCGTTTTGGACACAGCCTCTGGCAAAAGGAGCCCACGGGCAGGCAGGGATGCACTATGCTTTTTCAGCATCCTGAGCTTTGGTTTCTGCTTGCTTGTTTCTGACAAAGCAGGTCAGCCTGACCAAAACCAGATAGATGTTCTTTGCTTACCTCAAAGCAAAAGATTTCATACCTTTAATCCTGACTCATAAGCCCTCAGTTGGCTCCTTGTCCAGCCACAGGCAGAGCTCCACACACTCCTGCTGGTCACTGACATAGAGGATGATTCCCCCTGCCTGCCCTTCCTAAAAAGCCTGTATCATCCTATTCCGACACTCCAGTCATCGGATAAGATTGTAACCCTGCAGGCGTGCACATGTTTCTAACTCCTCTTGTTTATTCCCCATGATACATGTGTTTGCACAGAGGCATTTAAGTTGGGTCCCTGATGAATCTGACTTTCTGGCTAGAATTCCTTTGTGCTGCTCTTCAGGTGCTCTCCTGCTGCGCTGTGAACCCTCTCCAGGCTCCGGGCATCTATTGCCAGCACTGGAATCAAGCTGGTAGGAGTGAGATGGATTGAGGTTCCCCTCCCCCAGCAACTGTAGTTTAAAGCCCTCTTCACCAGCTTGGCATAACCCCTAAATATGAAAAATAAGGATTCAATAAAAAGGTCCTACAGGCAGGTTTGCTATAAGCTTCTTTCAGTGACAGATTCCAAAACTCCCCACTACAACAACATCCTTCTGTACACAAAGGTAAGACGTAATTTCTTTGTGATTCTTGATGACACTGAATAAGAGAGCACTTTTCCCTCTTGCACCCCTCAGACACGCTGCAAGCAGCAGCATCATACCTATTTAACTGTCCCTCACACAGCAGGATTTTTGCCTCTATCGTCTCCCAGTAGGCTGAATTACTCCCTTAGACTTCCTCTAGAGCTCACTGGGGATAGGTGACTGTTTTCTCTCTCTCGTTCTTCCCACAGTTTAAGAATGCAGAATGAAACCTGTCTCCCAAGAACAGCAAAGGATATGAGGTTTATTAAAAACACCTACTGAGTAATAGATTTACTTTCCCCAAAATAGGAGCAAATTAACAAATAAATTGATTTGCAAGACAGGTTGTTTTTGAATTTTAACACCATAAATGTTAATTCCCAGTAATAGCTGTTTCATCAATCACATGTCCAGTCCTGCTGTTATCACATAGCCAGAATAGTCTGTGACTAAATTCAGCAATTTAGTCTGAGACTAATGCTTTGACAAGTTTAATACCTTCTGTATGCATATTGCCAGGTTTTACTTCTAACCAGGTCTAGCCTCTGATTGTGATCTTGCAGATCACCTTGTTTTAGCAGCTATTGTGCTTGAATTCCTTTCCCCAGGCAGGATTCATGCACATAGCTCCAGATTTACAATCACTCTTATAATTTGCTGTGCCAATAAAATTATAGCCACTGTAAACAGTCCACATGGCAATTATATATTGCAAAGCAAGCTGCAAGTTAAGCCATACATTTAATTCAGAACCAAAAGACTGCATTACACCTGAAAGATTCAAATCCTTTCACTGGCAATTACCTGCGTTAGTCTTTCTTTATGGTGTGCCTCAGGTTAATTTGACATTCACTTTTCTGTTTTGAGAAAAAAGCCCCATGCATTTTATAATTCCATGTGCACATCCAAAAGGCACCCTGCTTTTGACTTGCACATCTCACATCGATAGCATGCGTGGGAGTACAAAGGACTGTCAGCTGAACATTGGCCTGGCACTGACATGGAATAAGGACACGATTGTCTGCCTGCTGAAGTAATGTAGTGGTGACTTTGCCCATTACTGAGCAAGATGACAGCACTAATAAAGGGATTCTCATCTCAGCCCTGCTGAAAACATGCAGCTGCTGCCATGTAAGTCAGTAACTCATCTTTGCAATCACTTAAGTCAGGTTGAAAGAGCACAGGTAACTTTAAATAGGTGAGTGATCATGTAGGTAAAATTCTGAGAAGTTTTATCACATGTAATTGAGGCCTAGGAAGGATAATACTAGAACTGCAGACAAAAAGCACTACCTAAAATTAATACAATAGAAATATTAGCTGCTTCTTATGCTTATCCCATACAAAACCTGAGAGATAAACCTGTTCCGGCTTCATACTGGCAGTGTGTCTTAAGGGTGGGAGGTGGGGTGTGTGTTAAGTTTCCTACAGCAAACAATCTAAAAGCACGGATATATGTATTTCTACCCTTCTGTCCCTATGAGCTGAGCCATGCTAATGGATTACCTGAGCACTTCTAACCCTTTTCACTCTGTATTATTGCAAATTATTTATCCTGAACCGTTACAGAACAGTTTTACCTTAGCTAGTTTATTTTGCACTGGCAAAAGAAGCAGGAGCACTCGCACAGCCTTCTGCCTCAGCCCAGTGTCTCCCTGTGGAGCAGCAGTGCTGAGACCTTGATCCTGCCCACCTTGCTGTCCCCTTAAGAAGGTGACTCCTTGGTAGCCATACATGCATCGGGGATAAGCACAAACAAGACACTGTAGGATGCTCACAGAGGGCTTGTTGCCAAAGCACACAATTTGTTTGCAGGCTCCAGCTCAGAGTCACCAGAACTGTGAAACATCTCTCCTTCTCCTCCTCATACACCCACCAGCTGCAAGAGCCAATTTCTGATTAGAGGCAGTTGTGAAGTTGCTGATAAACTGTTCTTCATCACAGGTTGTTGCAGCAGAAAGTTTTAGCAAAAGATCTGTTTTGTCCAAGGCTTTCCCTTGTGTTTACTCAGTCAGGGGTGGAATTTCTTATCCGAGGACACAGTCCTCCCTAAAACTACCACTCAGCTGAAGCCTCCTCTATGGTGTGGGTTCAAGAGTGTCCTAACTACCAAGACTGGAGAAGAGACCTCCAAAACTGATGGTCCATTTGGCCCAAAAAACATGACATTGCAAGAACTCTGGCAACCTGCTGTTTAAGGAATGTGTGCAAATCTGGAGTCCCAGCTCCAGTTCCTGTGGTGCCCTGCTTCAGAGCCAGTGCTGAAACAGGTCTGCTGTTCAGCTCAGTGCCCTGGCTACTGGCTGAAGAACTGAAAAAAGGGAGACTTCCCACTTTCTGCTTTCTGAAGAAAGTAAGTACATTTACGATAATTCGTTTGTCTCAGTGTGGACTGAGAAATTTTTTTGATCTATTTTTTTCACAAGCCAAGGGGAAAAATAAAATAAAGGTTTCCTGCTTGGTTCTTACTTCCAATGATATAGTTCTAAAATTCTCCCAGGACTGGTGGGCTTGTAAATCTCTGGTTTGCAACAGCAGCTGAACCAGAGCTGACAAGGAGCAGAGTACCCATGTTCGGAGCATTCAACAGCCCTCCAGCTCCTCATCAGGCTTAATGAAGTGTAATGAAAGGAAAGGAAAGGAAATGAATGAGCTTTGTCCCCATTGCCAAAGGAAAGGGCAGCTAGAAATATGCATGGACCCAATATGAATTGAGCATGATTAAGTACGTTATAACTATTGTTCTGAATAAAATGGCACTGTTATACCTAAATAGCCTGCAGCAGTTCATTGTCATTACAGCCATTTAGCTGGCTCTGCTTTAATTGCCTCTGAAAGCCACCTAGAAAGGATTTCTTTTACGCCCTTTCCAATTTAAAACCAGAGACAAATATGTAAGCACTAACCTGCATCCATCTAGATAATGGGGATTCAGCTGGTGAGATAGGAAGATAGATATTTTATAGGAAAATGCTTGGCACTTGACATGCAGGGCAAAGTAACTGTGATGTGCATGGGTACGGCTGCCACTGGAGGGTGGCTACAGAGATCTGGGGTTAGCCTCTGGCTACACTATCCGACCCCACAGTTGGCTTCTGCAGGCAGCTGTAACAGAGAGACCAAGTACCAAGAGGTGCCCCAACCTAAAGGCACCCCTGGAGCCAGAGGGGAGGCACTGTGGCCCCATCCCCTCCTGGCTCCAAGCAGGCTGTCCCCAGCACCCAGATCCTCCCCCCCGGGAACTGACATTAGCCAGAGAGGGTTCAGTAAACACCAGTGCTTCATGAGCATTTATTGATCAGGACAGGCTTCTCCATCTCTAACACCTGAGAGTTTGTGCTATCTAAAAGGCAAGGGTACCCTTAGTACAGCCCCTCCTTATGGCAAATATTCCCTTATCTTGGGCCACACTACCTCATGCTCCAGAGACTGCAGCTCATTTGCTCCATGCTGCTAAATTCCACCGGCACTTTAGCTTTCTCCTTCTTCACTGTTGCCACATTTGTCTAGACAAAACTGCCATTGCACCACGATAGGGGAAGCACTTCCTGCCTTTTTCTGTCCCAGGCATAAATTCCAGCTCACACAGGACTGAGTCTTCCGTTTGGCTCACAGAAGTAATGCAGCAACAGCTCAACTCTGGAGAGAGCCTTCAATAAAATGCATTTGAAAGAGAGAGAAAACCACATCACAGAACATCACAGCATCCTTGTCCCTCTTGCCCAGGGAGCTGCACAGGTGCTGAAGTACAGCCCTTCATGCACACAAACTGACAGAACTGTGATGCAGGTAAGTCACCAGGACTGCTCTGCAGCACTTGGAAAAAGCTTTTTCTCCCAGCACAAGACACAGGATGCTGGATATCAAAGCATGTTGCCTCAGGTGCTGAGAGCAGAAGAATGTGTCACAGCAAGGCTGATGGTGAGGCACAGCTGTTGTCATGGTCCTTGATGGAGCTCTCACATTAAGACATGTACTGCCCTGAATTTGCATCTGTTGAATTACTCACCACACAGCAATCCAAATCTAAATTAAAATTTTTCTCTTCTGTATTCTTAATTGATTCACAAAAATGAAAACATTATCTTCCCCCTTCAGATTAATTACTTTAAAGACTCACAGTTTCTTGGGAGATAATTCCCAGCTCAGCTCTGGCAATGGAGCAAGACTGGAACCCAGCCTAAGCTAGCCTGCTAAGAAACACCAAGTGGAGTTGCTCTGGAGAGAAGAAAACAGGGGAAATGTCTCTTCTCTTGGGGAAGAGGACTGTTTTAGAAGGACCTTCTTACTCTTGTTAGTTGCCTTCAGTCAGTTCAAAAGGTCCTTAGATCTCTCCTGGACAGACTTTTCCTTTACAGAGTGCTGAGGAGGATGCTCCTTAGCTTCTAGAAGTACAGTGTACTATTGAAATGATGCCCCAAAGTCTTTGCTGTGGACAACAATCCAGCTGCTGCTCCAGGCATACAGCTCAAAGTTCGTGCATGGATCTTACAGCCCCGAATTCTTTTTAGACATGAGTTTGAATCCGTCATCCAGGATGGACCTCCGATTGCGTCTTAACCTCTTTTGTCGCTCGAGATAGACGACCACTCCCAGCAGGGTGCAGGCGACCAGGAAGAGCACCATTCCTGTAATGGCTAGAGCGATGACTGTGGCCTCTATCTGCCCTTGAGCCAACTTAGCTCCAAAAAGCATGATCTTCTGAGACTCATCCTTATCTTCAGGTGGCAACTCTGGGACACAAACATAAAGATAGTTCCAGTGAGAGCCAGAAATGCCACAACTGAAAGCTTCCAAGTAGTATAAAAAAGGAGCAAAAGACAGACCCAATGGAATCAAAACAAGTCAAAGCAGACCCAGTTGCCATGTCTCTAATAGACTCTCATCCCTGAGATCACACAGAAATTTGAGAATGAATGGTTCTTTCCCTAATCCACTCCATACCAGGACCTCATCGTGTCTTCACAGCTATTGAGACCAATCAGCTAACCATTGCTATCCCCACTCACAAGGAAGGTGATCTGAGGTAGTGTGGGGAGTCAGTGGCTGGGCTAGGACAGAAGAATGGAGATGAGAACCTGCATCCAGACTGGGGCTGCTGAGAGTTCCTCACCCTGCTCCCAGCTCCCAATGAACACGGCTGTTGTCCTAACCACCACTTTTCAGAATGTACTTGCTCAGTCATGCCAGTGGAAAGTCACTTAAGATCCTGAGCTCTGTTATGCTTCCACACAGAGGCAGCAGCAACCTTTTGAGAAAAGTGGGTGTTTGCACAGGTGACAGCTGTTGATCAAGCTTTTTGCCCGGTAAGTATTTACAGGCCAATGCCTGAGTATGGTATAAAACAAAATTATTTAATATTGTCACTACTGCTCTGACACATTTCCTACTCTTCTTCACACCCATTTTGAGTGAGGAAGATATTGTTGGGAAGGAAATGACTGAAATATCAGTAGAGAGACTGAAGAGCTGTAGGTAGATGGCTGCATTTTCAGCTGGTCTGAGCAGGCTCAGAAATCAGCTCAGCTGGATTTATTCACAGCAGCTTAAAAATTGAGTTGGGGAGAAAGATGAAAAATCGGGGAAATAAATCAGCTCCATACACTATTCTGACTTTTACCCCAGAAAGTTTTAAAGTGATATTATCTACTATTCCCCTTTTCCCTAGTACTGCTCAACCAAATGTCTTCTCACTTCTGTTCTTTAAAACACCCGAAGGACCCAGGGTATGTGCTTAGGCTCTTTTCTTGGGGAAAGAACAACGGACTAGAAGGTAGATATATACTTATTTGCATGCTGACTCAGTCCCTTCAGCTAGTAATGGTGAATATGAAAATTCCCTAAACCACATAGTCATTGATAGTCCAAGAAGGGAAGACAACTAATTTAAGATGCCCCTTGGTTTTTCTTATCCCTTTCAAATCAAAACCCATCTCCTTTGCAACACTTCCTTTAAAATCCTTTGAATCTCTGCCAGTTTAAGCCTGCACTCTCCTCTGAAGATGAATCCATATATAACAAGTCCAACAGGATATGAGGCCACCAAACTTTTTCACCTAACATGGTCAAACAAGCCTAACAAGCCCAACTTCCTTATTTTTATCATCAGAGCACAGACATCTGGAGGACAGATAAACAAACCAAGCTGGAACTCTCCCTGTTATCCATCAGCAGCCAGGCCTCAGACAAACACGCTGGCCAGCCCGACAGTGGGGAGGCTGTAAGTGGTATTCATGCTCCTCCCTTCTCCTCATACAGACTTAAATCTCTGTACTGACCAGATATCTCCCTCTGCCTCACACACACAGACAGTATTTAGCAGTGCAACATACACTGTACCTGCACTGTAGTTTACGACTTCAAGTGCTGGCTCTGAAAAAAAAGAAAAAGAGGGTGAGAAAGTGTTGGGCTGAACAGTCAGAGTCCAGAACACGGCACATTTGGCAAGGATCAGATCCAGAGACAGCATGGTTTTAACCACAGCTTGAAGGGTTTTTTTCCTCCTGTCAATGTTTTCCTACTCTGCATGACACCAAGAGTGTTTTTTTATTACCTGCTTCAAAAGCAGACCCACTCCTGCCTCACAACCCTTTATGGCCTTTGAAAGAAAAGCACAGTCAAAGTCTGAGTATGTGGTGGGCTGACCCCAGCTGGCAGTCATTCACTCACCTGGGGGAGGGAGTGGGAAGGGCAAAGGCAGGAAAAAAAATACTTGTGGGTTAAGATAAAGACAATTTAGTAAGTGAAGGGGGAAAAAAACCAAAAACAAACAAAAAAAACCCACCAAGTGATGTAAAAGCAATCACCCACCAGCAAATCAATGCCCAGCCAGTCCCTGAGCAACAATCACTTTGGAAAAGCTACCTCCCCACACCTTTTTATTGCTGATCATGATGTTACATGGCATGGAATATCCCTTGGCCAATTCAGGTCAGCTGTCCAGGCTGTGTCCCTTCCCTGCCTCTTGCCCACCCCAACCTACTGAGTGAAAAAGAGAAGACCTTGACACTGTGCAAGCACTGTTCACCAATAGCTAAACCAGTGTATTATCAACTCTGCTGTGGTAAGAAATCTAAAACACAGCACCATATGGGCTCCTGTGAAGAAAATTAACTCTATCAGAGCCAAACCCAGTACAGAGTGTCACTCACCTTTGAGCACCTTCCAGTGTTCCCTGGTGAAATGAGAAGCCTTAGGATGTGCATTTAGATTGTCGGTAATATTCTTAAGTAAGAACAATTACTAGCCAATGGCTGAACATTGCTTCTCAGACACAAGCTAAAATAAAACTCATAACAGCAAGACAGGCAATGCAAGCCCCAGAAACCAATTTGTTATTAATTCCAAGCTGCAGGTATTACCATATTCAAAGGGAACATCTTAAACTGATAGCACTTAAGTAATTATCCGCTCAATTAACTGGCTGTTTATGGTATGTAAAGAAGTTGTGATATGCAAACACACAGAATTTAGCAGTAGTAGCAGAGAGTGCTGTTAGATGTTTTACAGTAACAATTAGTGGTAGCTCCCTACCTGGTCTAGGCAAGACTGTGAAGAGTATCTCCATGCCAGCATGAATATGATCAGACACATGACAGTGAAGCAGCCATGTCCCAGGGTTCCCAACCAACATCTCCACCATTTCAAAGGTCCCAGGGAACAGATCCACAACATCTGCTCTATAGCTTTTGCCATTCTGTCAAAGGGAAGGGAGGCTGTTAGCATACAGTGCTCTGTGCATCTTTTCAGAAATAAAATTCTGTCACTGTGACTGGAGACCACTTCAGTGCTACTACAGTTTTTAAAAGCTAAAAAAAAAAAAAAAAAAAAAAAGATTTCAAAGAACAGCTCCAGGGCTGTAGGTGGGAAAGCAAATAATCCGGTAATGCCTAATCCTAAAAAGGGTTAAGCTAGACAGATCAGCACAATACAGAAGCTCAGCAAGTCAGATTTGGATGTGTAAAATCACATCCCTTTCTTAGTTGGGTGAAGTGATCCAAGTAGTTCAAGTCCAGAGTCAAGCAAAAGTGAGGATATTGGTGGCCATTCTCTGCTTTATCATCAGCAGGATATTCTTACCCTGTATATGAAGGTTTCAGCATGAAAATGGACTGTGTGGACATCAATCTCCTGACCCATTCCCAGCAGGTACCAGTTCACCCACTCTCCCTGGAACATGGTCAGCCCAGGCAAGTTTGCATAGAGCCTCCCATTGATTGCTGTGCCGTAAATAACAGAGAGAAGAAAGGCTGTTATTGAAATGGTAAAGATGCTGAACCATCTCAGAGGAAGAACATGCAGGGCAAGGTAGATGCTACAAAGCTCATATAGCAACCAGTGCATCAGCAGTTACTGTCTTCCATATGACAGCCCCCTGAACTTTGGCAGTCTCTCTCCAGCTCAACTACTTATCCACTCTAATAACAGATAGGAAGAGTAAGTGACTTGCATCCAAGGCCATGCTGTAGCTCAGCTCAGATAAATCTCAGAAACTACCTCTTGCTGAAAACCTGTAGTCAGCCAGAGGTGGTTGCTTCTAGAAGTCAAGATGCATATAAATGGCATTCTTAGCTCAATGACAGGGAAATATGTATATAACTATACACACATAAATCTATGAGCAATTTACTTGAACAACGAAAACAGGTAAATCCTGCCGACAGTCAACCCTGTAATTCCAAGAGTCTCATGCTGGCTACACACATTATATGCTGATCACTTGTAAAATTGATACATGGCAGGACTATTTCATAATTAGCACAGCAAGGAATACTGCAAATGCAGGAAGGAGACTAAAACAGTGAGCGAGCAGAATGTGATGGCAAACACATGGAACTTCTCATGCTCAGATGACAATGCAGGGAATAAGATAGAAAGAGACATGATCTGAGGGCAGGAACACCATGTTTTATGCCCAGATCTGCCATAGGCATTTTCTGTAGCCCAAAACAAGCATCCAACTTCAGTGTGTTGATTTTACTAGCTATAATATTGACTTAATTATAATAATGGATATGTATATCACCTGTACAAAACCATCAGTAAGGATAGTACACATAATACAATTCTTCACTATTCTTATCTCCACAACTGCTAAGAAACTTGTTTTGCTGAAAATACTTTAGATAGATCCAGAAAAATGGAGAAAAACTGTCATAAATAACATGTTAATTTAGAAAAACATGTTCATCCTACTATGGTAGAAATAGCTTTTTGGTAATCAGCTAAAACAACTGAGACATGAATTGTAGCCACATAGCTCAGTCAATTAATTTGAAATCTAGCATATCTTAATGGTCCCGAGATGAACAGAATGGAATTATTCTGACATGTTATTTTCACATTTTATTTTATTTCCTGTCCTGAGTCACTCAGGTACATCAGAGATTAACCTCTCTGACCCACATCTTGCTATTCCTCTTGGCAGGAACAGCCATAATGATTAGCCTTCGTTGTAGATCGAAGATTTGTGCCATATACGTGTTGCAATATTGAGAAAAACAGACAGTTTAATCCTGTTCATGACACTGACAACAGAAAAGGATGAGGGCATTCACTAGGACTCAGGCTCTTGTTTTTTGGGCAGCTGACTACTTACAGAGGTCACAGAATCAACACCAGCTTTGTGTAGATAGTAATGGGGGCTCAGCTGCCTAGCAGGCATTACCATGCATTTTGTTGCTTTCCACAAATTTGTCATCCAGCAGGTTGATCTCCTTGTGATTTCCCTTACTGTAATGTTCCACATTCTCCTCCAAGTACCAGGACTGATTTTCATCAAAAACCAGGAACAGGAGAGCAAACTCCCTCTTTACATCCTTCCTGATCCCATCAGACTGTAGTGCCCCTCTCCGGCAGATCTTCAAGGGTCCAATCAGACCACTGTACATATCCTAAATCAGAATGAAGGAAAAAAACCTGAGGCAAGGATCTTCTTGCCCTCTCTTTTACACACAGTTGCCTTTCAGCAACCCTATTTTCTGTTCCCTGCATCACCCCACTTCAAACAAATGGTGCTACCGTGTAAGTACTCTCATCGGTGAAAATCAGCTACCAAAGCACAAGAAGAAACTATAATGCTCTTAAGAACGCAAATCCAAAATTCATAAATATGTATTATATCAAAATATTCTCCACTCTGTAGCTGCAAAAACATCTGCAACTTGTAATAAAAAGGCAATGATCTCTCGGTTGAATATGATGGTTTATTGCAGGACCTTGCAGGTTGTTTCCCTGTGAAATCAGTGCTATAACAATTGATCCTAGCAATGCTCAAAATCTTCCCGCTTTATCCATGGAGCCTAATTTTGCACAATTTCTGTCTTTCTTGATTAGCCGTATGGCTGTCACTAATAGAAATCATGACTTACTGAGAGATGTTCTCATATCCTGCAAGTAACTGAAGGAAGGTTAGTGTCAAGGAGACGGTGGAATTTTATGAAGGTTTGTGTTAGGAAAAAATAAGGACAAAATTTGTCCTGTTTGAGGATTTCCTCTCCCAGAAGAATGCTGAACATGTCACCAGGTGGTGGTTCTACCTCTTGACTGGGCCAATCTCTAAATTGTTTTCGAGAAAGGGGGGGGGAGCAGGGAAGAAAAAAAAAAAAAAAAGAAAAAGAAATCACTCTAACTGGGCTTTTCTGCTTCCAACTTCTATTTTACCTTTACTGGGTCCACCTTGGAGTAGTAGATCCAAGGAACACAGGCTGAATCATTTGGCCCTGGACCAGATCTCTCAGGAACTTCCCATCGGTATGTCACAATGTCACCTGAGTGACAGAGAAGCACCATTAACACCAGTGTGATACACCCACTCGTTAGTTTGCTGAGCAGCATGCAAAGCAAAAGAAGACCCTGTCTCCAAAGTGAAAATTTAATTCTGATTTTGCCGGACATTGCATCTTCCTTCCCCAAATGCTGAAGAGCAGGATGGAAGCTCCCCACTCACAAGCAAAGCAGAGGGATCACAGGATGCATGCAGTCTAGCTGTTATCAACACAACTCAACTCTTATTTATCTGCCGCCTTTGAGACTGAACCTGGCCAAGGAAATCCTACCTCTCTTCAGTACAGATGCGGCTTAAGATGATCTTTTATTTCTTGGAAGTATATTTATGATGCTCATTCAAATTCATTTTTAAAATTACTATTTTGCATGTTAGCAAGACATTTCAGAAAGACAGGGCCCAACTGAAAACCTGTTTGTTGCTCAGACAGCCTGTGCAAGTTGAAGGGGACCAAAAATTATACAAATTGTCGTCTGGCCCATGAAACAAATTGGTGATTTCAGTCAGCATCCTGGCAAGCAATTGTGCATTTCTCCTATTTCATACTGTTGTATACATCACAAAAAGTATAGGTCCCAAAGAAGAGGGGCAGGCTTTCAAGGGCTGACTGAGCTATGAGCTGCCATCATCTTTCTTCTTCCTACAGGCAGACTACACTGAGTAGGAGAAATAAGGCTGCACACAGAAAAGTTTGTGCTATGCTTTATCCAGAATTCAGAGCAGAATGTGAACTCCCAAGGCTGCTATTTCCACACAGGTGCTATCACTAGAACTGCAGTGAACCTGAAAGGCTAGTTACTGTTCAGTTCCAGTTCTCTACCATAAGAAAACAAGTACATCTAAATCTACTTAAGGAAACCAGTCTAGCTATAGGCTAAAATTAGCTTTGTAAGCCCATACAGGAATATGGCTGGAGACCACAGTGGCTTACCAGGGTTTGCTACTTGCGGCTGCCCTGTCTCCCTTTCCAGCACCCCATGTGCATGAATGGAGTAGGGTCGGGTGGCATTGTTCTTAAACACGATGTTGAGAATATCTCCCACTTCTGCCCACAGAAAAGGACCTAGAGATAGGAACAAAGTACTATGAGACAAGCAAAAACTGTCAACGTATTTCCTGAGGATATTCCCACCTCTCTCTCATCATTTTCTCCCCAGACATATTCCCTTGTAATATTTACGATGTTTCCCTCCCTCTTCTCTACCTTATCCCTGCCTCCCAAAAAGAGAATTGGAGGTCAGTCCCAATTCAAGTAAGTCTTAGAAAACTGGACTGTTTCACAATGAGGGAAATTAACTTTGTTATGCATTTTAACTGTGCCCAGTACAACCAAGGGTTGATTTCTGAATACTGACATGCTAAATTTCACAGCATTTTGACCATACTTTGCTGCTGCTTTCAAAAAATATGGTAATATTCAATTTGGCCTGACAGTGTCAGAAATCAGAGCTACAGCCTACTTTGATCAGCATATACTGCCTTAGCCTTGCTGCTCTGGCACCACTTACAGCCCGGTGTTCATAACACAGAGCTGTTTCTCCACAGACTTCCACCAGTCATTGTAATGCACTATTCCACTTCCCAAGGCCTGTCTGGTTTTGCCCGAAAAGCATTTCTCTCAGCTACAGATTTTCACCTGTATCTCTCAGACTGCTCTCTAGAAGTCAGCATTTATTTCTGTTCTACAGTCAGAGGAATGTAGGTCTGAAAAATGTTTTGCCTGAGACATGGAAGAAAGCTGGTGCAAATGCAGGCACAAGAACCCAATCTTCTCTACTAGAAGCTGTGTTCAGGACCTTCTTTCTCCAAAGCTGGCAGACATGAATAAGAGACAGTCTGAATTTCTCCTCACTTGCATACACAGCAGGTGTCTAAATATCTAGGAGGCCTTCAGATTACAGCCCATAGCCACTGAAGCTCTAGAGTCAAGTCTCATTGCTGTGTGAGTGGAAGATGTACCCTTTGCACATATCCTTACCTAGTATCCCTAGGTGTTCATCACCATTTGTCCTGGCCTTGGGGGTCTGGAAAGTCCCATCGGCGTACTCCCTGTAAACTGCTTTCTTGTACCTGGATCCGAGCAGTCCATTCTCATTGCTCAAAAATATATCGGCGTAGCTGAGAAATGCAGAATGAGCGCTGACATACCCAAAAGGTCACAGGGAATAAACATCTAACTTGTGGCAGGGGGTTCCCTAGTTGAATGGGTTTCCCAGAGACCCACTTTGGCTGCAAAGGTGGGCGCAGTGACGCAGGGGGCTGCGGCTCCCATCAGCAGCACCACCAGCAGTGGCAGATGCACCATGTCACAAGATGGACAAGACCCCTAACAGGCTTCACCAAGGTCTATTGAAAAACTTTGCCAAAGACTTCCCCAGAAGAAGGGCTCTACCTCTCTGCAGAATGGTTGTGCCGTTCCCTCTCCCAGCTTCGGTCAGGCATGTAGTCCCACTCCACCTCCTCTGCCATGATGTAGTATGTCCGCACCCCTTTGTACGGAAGGGCAGGAGCAGGATCCCTTTTTCCACACTTGGAAACGAAGTAGCGTTCCCTCATCCCAGCCTGATAGTGATTGCTCGTCTGGCAGTAGATCTCAAAAATCCCTGAGGGAGGCAGCACGAACAAGGAAATCAGCTACTTTTAAAGATCTCAGGAAACAGCTGCTTCCCATGCAAAGCTTGTGACGTGGCTGACATTGGTATGTGTGTATCTGTGTGTTTGTTTAGGGAGCTTGGTTGCCACAGGCTGATATTAAAAGGGGTTGTTAGAGAAACCAACCAGGAATGGCACAACAAAGTCCTACACAAAATCATCTTGGGAGGCTTTCTTATGCAATAACCAGCTTACTAGATGTGAAGAAACCAATAAAGTGACATAACCCTGCTACCAGTGATGAGACGTTGGTTAAATAAAAGATCTAGCCTGCAAATTCCGAAGGGGAGGAGACAACTGGCAGCTGAGGCTATCACATTGTGTGAATGAAACATGGTATTGTGTGCCTATCCCACAGACTAGGAAGACTGGGGTCTGTCATAAACGTAAATCTCCACAAGCCATGGACAGGGGAGTTGAGCTCTGGCAACTGACTGCTACTTTATTCTGAAAGACATGTTTGCACGTTTCTATGGGTCACAGACAGCAGTGTTCATCAGGACTGCTACTACAAATATTTTATTGGAAGTAGCACACTACAGAACCAGTGTGAGACAAGATCCTGTATCTCCTATTCTCCAGAATCAGATGCAATTACAGGAGCTGTGGCCTTGTAAACGGGATCAAAAAGGATCTAGAGCACAGGTCACCCTGTAAGAGTTTACACTGCTAAAGGATAAGCCACAGGAGCAAATATTACAAGAGACCTTTCCTGCTGCTAAATTAGATGTAACTTACCACTGTTATCAGGTTGCATGAAGGCAGTAGCAAATGTATGGGGGAAGAGATTGGCTGAATCTCTCCGCATCCCGTTCATCTGCAGGGTATTTCCCTGAAACACAGCTCCATGTACATCTGCTTCACTGCCCAAGCCCAGAAGGTGCCAGGACACATTGTCTCCTTCACACACATTCAGCCCAGGCAAGTTACCAAACATAAGCCCATTGATGGCTGCAAAGGAGAAAACAATTAACTCTCTGCAAGAAGGTATCAGCCAAGAGATTCATTTTGTGCACACACTTTGACAGGACAGGCTTACCAGTGAAATTGTAGCTTGCTTGTAATTCAACCCTGAACAAGCTCCTGAAACAGCTGTGCTTCTTGTCCCATGTCCCACTCGCTGCCTCTAGCCTCACTTGATTTCAGACCAATACCACACACAGCCACCCCAGCTCAGTCTCTAGGTGAGCACCAACCCATGTTTTGCAGGTTCATTCCTGCTGCATGCAGAACAGCATCAGGCCATACCATGCATCCTGTTTGATTCCTCGAAGCCATCATCCTTTTTCACAGAAGTCTCTTCCATCCTCAAATAGTACTTTATGTTTGCATTTAAATACCAGCTGAGGTTCTCATCAAACACGCTGAAGAGAAGGTAAAATTCTTTGTCGATGCCTTTCTATAATTACAATGATGGCTGTTAGTTTTTAAAACACACCAATTAACTATCCTTAAAGTTTGTTTGCCTGGCTCTCATGTTCCCCTTTATCTTAAAACTTGGCTCATTATAGGCCAGGGCTCTGGCCCTTTACTAATGTTAAGTGTTCTGCTTCTGTTCCACAAGAGGCACCACTTGTGGATTTTCCATGATATTTCACGTAATTAAAGTGATCAAAATTCAACCAAGGATATGAAGTCATCGCCTCCTTCCTCCACCATCCCTACTTTTAGGTGCAGGTTTCACCATCTGTCCAAATCAGACCCGAGATCAGAGCCCATTCCACAAGCCAGGCTGATGACTATGTTCCACTCCTTTCTCTTACCACAGACCTGGACTGGGGATTATTTTTTATTACCCCAAATCCTTGAAAATGTTAATTCTCCTAAGAAATGTTTTCCAAAGCATGGTGTGTTTCCCCACTAAAAGAACATCCCCAGCATTGTCCAGGTTCTCACTCTGATATCAGCTTCCTCATCTGTACCCAGGAAGACCCCCTGCAGAGAGAGCTAAGGGATTCCCAGTCTGTGGCACAAGGAGTGGCCATGGGCCTTTCCCATTTAAGCATTCTTTAAATGGTTGCCTAAGATTGTGGAGCCAGAATTGCTGCCCCAGGTGATTTTTCCCTGTCCTACTTTTACAAACAAGGCTGTCTGTTTTATTTACAGGTATTGAAAGGGTGTAAACATTTTATCATCACAGTTCCTTCATATAGTGGGCTGCATATATCCATGATCCTCTCTGCTCAGAAGACTCACATTTCCACCCCGTGTAACATGCCAATCTCTTCTGCATTCCTAATTTAGCCACATCATGCCACCACTGAAAGTAAACTCTAGTGAGGCTCTCATGGCAGTTGTTTTCAGACTCACCAGCCACTCCCTGATCTACACCACAAGGTAGGCAGGATGGCAGCAGGTTGTTTTTCTGCTGCCTACTGTTTTTCACAATAAGGCTCTGCTAATCCATCTTGCACTTCCCTGGTATATTAATTTAATGTCTTCACTAGATTTACTGTCATGAGTAGACTACCCCTAACTGAAATTCCAAGAGGAAGTTCTGGTCATTCAGATTTCACCTCTCTTCCACCAAAAGCATAAAGACTGACATGGATTTTCACACGCTTTTTTGTAGTCAGCTCTGCTTGAAAATTAACTGATCTTGAAAAGGAAAAGAGGCTCACCCAAACCTCAAAGTATTATATCATTCAAGCAAACCAACTGTAAGTGCAAATGTCTTTTCAATGTTTCTGAGACCGCAATGAATGTTCCACGTGCCTCTGAAAGCAGCCTGCTATGCAAGCCTCAGGACAAAAGTTATCTATAGTCACATCCAAGGTACAGTTGTTGTTCAGCCAAGTTTGAGTTTAAAGCAGAGCCCAGAAACCATTTCAAGGGCAGCCCTTGGGAGCCCAGAATGTTAGCATTTCCCATGTAAGACGTGGGCACCAGTTGTCCCAGTGTTAAACTGCCCCATGACTTTGATTCAACTCTCCTGGACTCACACTATTGTACGTTTGTTTTCACTATGTTCCCTAATGTTTTGCTGATGCTGCATTTTTCTACCAGAAAGCAAAGAACCTGGTAAGAGCATGGCAAGAAAACCCCTTTTACCTGTTTGTTCTTGTCATCCAAAGTGCCCGGCTTGCAGATGACCAGAGGCCCTACTAAGCCTGAACTGGGATCTTTGACAGGATTGACAGCTGAGCTGTACATCCAGGTCAGGCAGGGAGGGTCACTGGATGTGGGCCCAACATGCTTCGGCACAGTCCAGCGGTACGTAAAGTTGTGCAGTGGTGCAACAGAAACCCCATTCTGGGACAGACCTTTAAAAGAGATTGGTATGGTTATTCCCAAGGTCCCTATACAAACTTGGTAACATCTCCTCACCAGCTATATTTATACTGGGCTTTACTTCATTCATATCACTAAAATACCCAGTATCTCTGAGGTGTGATGTGAGCATGTTTATAAAGCACATTCAAGAAGGGAGCATCTCTCAGCACCATGTAAATTCCCCCAGTGCCATGGCAGAGACAGGCATGGTGATGGGAAATAATGAAGCAGATCCAGCTGCATCTGGGGAGATGAACACTGGAAGCACGTGATTATCTAAACTGGAGTGCACTGGGCACATTCCTCTGCTCAGTGTCTCAAGTAGGTAGAAATGGTCTGAGCTCTGGTTCAAAATTTTCATCTGAAAAACAGCACCTCTGGAACCGTACTCCCTCTGGCACCCTCCCTGGACACCAGTTCAGTGGAAAGTCTCTGTCAGTGAGGCGTCAGGCAGGCTCAGAGGACCATGCTGGCTTATACCCACTAGGACATCCAGTCCATCCAGGCTGCATAAATTCCCCAGCACAGAGAAGGTATGGTCTGGAGCTCCATCACCAGCATTAGCATTGAATTACTTGAGAAAAGGGAGCCACAAACCATCATGGTACCGCATCCCCTCCCACGCCTTTCCATAGGACACTCCGTGAGGCTGGATGCTGAAAGGCCAGGAGGCTTTGTTAGCAAACATCACCAGGATGGTGTCTCCAACTTCAGCTTTAATCACTGGACCTACACAAATAGCAGAAAGACCATGTCAGCAACAGAGCAACTCCCTGGATGACCAGGCAAACCAGAGAAGTCAGGGTCACCTTTCACCAGGGCTAAAGGGAGCAGAAGACGCCGAGGAAAGGTGGATGCCTCTGCAGCCCCTGCACATTGGCACCACCTAAGGCCATTCAGCCCTGACAGTGGGAGCAGGGGGCTGACAAGAATTATCTGAAAGCATTTTGGGTCTGCAGGAGAACTCAGAAAGACTTCAGGTCTTCACAGGAGTAACAAAACAGCCAGATGTGCTGAAATGTCCTCGGAGAGGCCTGTGTCTCTCACCCACCTACATAACAACCCCTCGGCTTTTTAAGACATGTGCCTCAGGTAGGCATGTAAAAAGAGGTGGAAGATGCTCTAAGCCCACCACTGTCTCTGGGAACCACTGCCCAACCAGACAGAAAGGAACCATGAGTCTTTAACATGCCTGTCAGTTCCCACCAGCCTGCAGACCCCTGGGTCCACAGACCACTCCCAACAGCCTCAGTAAGGGATAAGGAAAGCCAGGCTGCTGCCCTGCAAAACCAGCAGAGACCCATGCCCTGATGTGCACCTCTTGATGTACCTCCATGTGCTTGGCTCCCCCAGTGGAGAACATCTGAAAGCCACAGGTAACCACAGTCTCCCCCAGGCCCTGCCCTGTGCCCCAGCAACTTCTGCCTTGGGGCTCAACATCTCCTTTGGGCTGCACCCAGATTCCTCAGAGTAACCCCAAGCTGAGCCCTTTGTTAACACACTGCTGGCCTTCCTGATGTGTGAGAGGGCTCATCTCTCCAGTATGGAGCTGTGTCCCTCTCCCCTCCACCAGTCAAGACTTGGGGTTGGACTGCTCCTTGCAGTTCAGAAAGACCATGTTAGCATGCTGGTCTACCACAGGGCAATCCCACTGCAACTCTTCCACTGATGAGCCTCCCTCTTCCTCTTCCCACTCCTGGATGGCCCAGGCTCCATCCCCACTGTTCATCAAATGTCTTGGGCAACTGATGTTGGCCATAAACCCAACAGACTCAGAACAAAAAATAAGCAACTTGCTGCATGGTTAGTGACCCGGATAGGCTACCTGCAGAGTCTGGTAAGCACACAGGACTTTGGGAGCATCACAGCCAGCAGCTGCAAGGGAAAGCATAAGGAGGGCAGCAGGAGCAAGCTGCAGGGAGATGAACTGCCAAGTGTCCACAGCTGTTATGCCTAGCAGCCCCATGAAGAACAACAACAGCGCTAACAACCGACCACCCAGCCTTCCTCACAGTATAGCATCATGTATTTTAGGGCAAGAACAGGCAGCATAAGCCACGGGTGGATGCCCATGCAGCATGGGTTGTCTGCACTGCAGCACATCACATTCAGCAGTTCCTTGTTCCAGAGCTCAGTCCCTCACAGCCTCACATCTCTTCTAGACATCCCAACCACTTTATCAAGTTTGCTTTAACCAGCCAGTTCAAATGAGTTCAGGTAACTCCCCTCATGGATGTCACTTGTTTATCTGACTGGGGATTTTCATCAATTAATCCTTCAGTGGTTTTAGTTTACCAGTAGAAAATACCTGTAATTTCTTTCTATAAAGTCATACCTGAGTTTTTGCCCAGTCATTTGTCTTTATATAGGAATGTAGCTGTTGCTGGTAATGCTAACCCTTTTTTCCTCCCCCTCCCCAGGTTCTCAAAGTCCAGCAAGATGCTGTCAGCTCCTGACAGTTACACTGCCAACTCTCCTATGCATAACTCATCCATTTAGCTTTTATTCAGCTGCTTATACTTCTTTTTTTGCCACTCTCCACTCTTCTCTCCCCCTTTCCCAGTTTATTTTACTCCACATGCTCTCTCTGTGACCTCTGCTAGGATTGCTGTTACTTATTTCTGGTGTCATTAGATTATTAGTCACTGCTGATGCAGGTAAGCGGACCACACCTATATGCTTCTACCATGTACATCACAGCCTTCATGCACAATCCATTTGTCACTGCAGACTCCCTATTTTCTTCTCTCATCTTTCTTCACTGCCCTCCCTATTATCTGGCTATAACAGAAAGAGCACCCACTCAGGAAAGGAAGCTTTCTGTGAGAAAGTGGGGTCTGTAGCATGCCTTGAAGATGCTCAGTCAAAAACATAACCAGGGGCTACTGTGAGCTGTTTAGCTCTAGTTGCAAATACTATATTGTGTCCCTCAGTCCTTATTACTAACCTCTGAAGGCTGTCCTTGCAGAAAAGTGATTCTGTCTGTTCTACATTCCACATCCTCAGTCTGTCCCCCTTGGTCTTAGATGTAACTGCTGTGAAACACATCTGTGCCACTCACTGCACTCCAAAACAAGAGGACAGTTACAGCCATCTGGTACTCCTGACATCAGCATCATTCTCACTGACACTGAAAGAGGATTTGTGTTGCTGGATGATTCCTACCAAGTATCCCAAGGTGTTTCTCCTCTTCTGACTGTTGCTTTTCCTCACGGAAGCTCTCATCAGTATATTCCACGTATTTTGCCTTCCAATAGACTCCCCCAATTCGGTAGGGGCTACGCTTGAAAAACTGCTCAGCAGGGCTAAATGCAAAAAGCAAGTGTCAGGTCATTTCTATGAAAATCAGTCCTGTTCTCCTCTTCCTCCCCACACCCCTCTGGCAATGCCAGCAGCATCTCCAAATCAAGCAGCTTTTCAGACAAGGACAGCAACTCTGGTTTGGAACAAGCACAGCTTGTCTCTGTGAAGCTTTTTCATCCTACAGACTCATCTACCCACTGCGTTCATGAAGCACCTCTGGCATGCATCCCTCTCCCAGCTGAAACAGCCGGGTTTGATGACACAGGTCTAAACAGCATCTGTATACTAAGCATGCAAAAGAGGGCAGTGAACAAAACTGCAGTGCAGTAAGTGGAAAGGCAGTGCTTAAACACCAAATTCTTCAGAAGCCAGGGGACAGCCCAGGGGACAACTGCAATAACAGGAAAAAAAACCCCCACACAACAGCTGTAGAAAGCAATTTATTTCCTCTGCTACCACCCTCTTTAAACACACAGACAGATGTAACATGCTTTGCAGGAGAGGCAGATTAGTTACAAGGCCAGCTCATAGGTCTAAGGAGCTTTCGGTTCTAAGGTCTGCAAGAGAGTTGCTGCATGGCTTTGGGTAAATCATTAACCACTCTGCATTTCTACTTCATCTAAAGGAGGTATACATCTTCTCCAACAGCTTCCCAGGGAAGGGAAAGGAGGGGGAGGAATGTCTTTGTTTCTGTTAGCCAGAGTGGGAAACGACTCACCAACTGCTATCACAACCATCTGAGATGTGGGATGGAAGGCAGCTGTCAGGGTCATCACATTTGATTTCCTAGAAATCACTTGCTGCAACAAGGCTACACTGAAGCATATCTGCAGGCTAGCTCTGCCACCCTGTGTCTGCTGCAAGATGTGCTTTCTTAATAATTCATCAAATGTATAGATCTGTTCCTAGGTCAGGCGCAGCAAGCAGAAATTAAGCCGAGACAAACGGGGCAGCTCACGTTCTACATAAGCTGGGACTCCCAGCATCTGTGGGTAAGGCTATGAAACACAGCACACTTCCACGTGAAGTCCACTGTTGTACCTAGAACTGCTCTCTGTACAGTCTAGCTACAGCAGCCTACCTTTCCAGATGGGGTGATCTGCCTTCCCGGAAAATGTACTCCACACGAATTGCAGGCATGTATTTTGATAAGAAATGAATTACACATTTTCCTTAACAGCCTCCCCAACAGGGATCAGAGACCCCCAAACATTGCCCTAGCCCATCAGCCTCTTGCTTACCTGTCTGCCTCACTCAGCCGTTTCCTACTGCTTTGGTCGAGCCCTGAAGGTCCATAGTCCCACTGCACTTCCTTTGCAGCTATGTAGTATTTCCGAACTCTCCCTTCCAGGCTGGATGCTGGAGCTTGTCGAGAACAGGGCTGGACTTCATAGAGTGCCCCCATCCCAGCTGTCCAAGACATGGTGGAGGACACATGCTTAACCCCTCTCAGTCAGTTTGACCAGGCAATGAACACAGTCCCAGCTTCCTATCATGAATTGGCCATTTTTCCACTGTTGTCCCAAAAGGCACATGGCTGGGAGAAGTGATAAGGTGGTTCCCAGAGCAAGGAGTTTTTCGCGTTAGTGAGCAGAGCTTCTTACCTTAGATACTGGATGCTATGGAAGTATGGACAGAAAATGAATAGAGCCTTCTGCTATCCTCAGATGTACCAAGCAACCACCTCTTACAGGGACTAGAGATCTTAAGGCATTGCCTTATCTTAGCTTTCAGCTGTACCAGACTTACTGTCTTCAGCACTGATCAACATGGAACATTGTACAGTGGTACAAGTCACCCCCAGTAAGTCTGGCCTGCACATTAATGATCAATCCACCCCAATTTATAGAAGACAAGGAATCATCCCATTCATCTAGTGACATTTTTAGTGGGAATGCTGCCCAAGGCACTGCCCCCTACCACACTGTATGTCATGGGACCACACTGGGAGAAAAAAGGGATGCCACAGAGTGCAGGGCATATTCCAGCCTCTGCCTTACCTTGTATGTGATCATTGAGCTGACAGCTCAGTAGCCATCTCCCAGGGTTTCTGGGGATCATGTCTGCTGTAACAAAAGTGGCTGGGAAGAGGCTGGCCACATCTGTCTTATGGCCTCGAATATTGAGTGTTTCTCCATGGAAGTAGGCTGTATGAACATCAATTTCATTGCCCATCCCAAAGAGGTGCCATGAAACGTAATCCCCAGCACACATCGTCATGTCAGGGAGGTTTCCAAACACATAACCATTAATAGCTGCAAAACCAAGCAAGCCAAATTCAGAGATTAGAAAAAGGGCCTTTAGAGCTTCTGCCAGCAGGTCACAGTACAGACATGTTTGGAGGATGGATCTAACCAGAACTCATCCTACTCTTGTTCTGGAGAGCCCAGCTCCACAACCCATTCCTAAAATGAAGTCTATTCAAAATCTCCAAACAACTAACAAAGGCTCACTCAAGCCAAAGATGAAATCAAAATAACAATTATTTTTTTCTGAAGTTGTCGCAATGTCCCTGTGATACTGTTTGCTTAGCTCATGATCTCAGAGCTTGCGGTTTCTCTTCTCCCCCCTACCCACACTGTGGCATATGACAGCAGAAGGCACATTTCAAGATACCAGAGCACTGACACCCCAGAGTGTCTGGACAGAGTCAGTGGCTTCACAAAGGTGACACTGACCATGCATTTTGTTGCTCTCTTGGAATTCCTCATCTTCTTTGTCTATGGAGCCTGGATCTGTGCAGAAGGACACTATGTTCTCATCCAGGTACCAGCTTAGGTTCTCATCTACCACACTGAACATTAGAAAAAAATCAATGTCCACATCTTGGCGTTTTTGAGAACTCCCAGTCAGTATTCCTAGGGTAAAAAAAGAAGATGAATGAATACCCACCCATACAGAAAAGCAGACATCAGTCAAGTGATTAAAACACCAATAGAAAATTAATTCTTACCACACAAGTTAGAGACAGATGCTTTCCCCACCATCCTAGCACAGCTCACGGCAGAGTTCTAGCAAGCTCACTATTTTCTAATATATCCCTGCTAATACATTTCTCACCCCCTAACAGCTCTACCACTGCGTGGCTGAACTGCAGCACCTTCAGTGTTCTTACTCCTGATGAAGTTAAACAGTGCCCATTTTCTGTAATACACAAACTAGGTCTTGGACAAGATTACTGCTTTTAACATGGATTCAAACAGCTCTCCGAACAAGATGCCTCCAAGCTCACCTGACCAGACACTAAGGAATAAATACAATGTAATGACCAAAACCCAACTAGAACACAGGTACTGTCTTCTCCAGTCATGCTGCACATTCCACTGAAGCTGGGAGCTGCCAACCAGAGTATTTTCTCAACCTATTCCTGTTTAGCTCACCACAAAATCTCCACACTGCAGCCCTCAGCTGCTTTCTCTTAGAGTTTTTACCCTTTTTGCATGTAAGTAATGGCCCAATTAATCCAGATGCAATGTCCTTTGGTGCATCAATATGAGAGTGGTAGATCCAGGTCAAGCAGTTTGGGTCATCAGCAGTTGGACTGTGATCTTCAGGGACAGTCCAAGTATAGGTGTAATTCCCTTCTGGGAAAACAGCATCATCCTTCTTCTGATCCTGGGGGGACATATCAGGATACAGGGATCCTAGAACAATTAAGCAATCACAACATCCATTCAAGAAAAGCAGAGATGTCCACACACATAACCTTATACTGAGCCGCTCTCACTCAGTAGAGATATACATATATACTTGAGTAGCATATTTCAAAGCTAGACTTACCATCCCAAGGCTGAAATAATTTTATTATCACTCTCTCAAAGAGAAACTGAGGCACAGAGCCATTGTAAGGCAATTTGCCCAGTAAATGGGTCATCGCAGAGTCAGAAAGATGATGCCCATTCTGCCCATTGCTACTTTGCCTTCAACTCTGCAATGTGACACAGTCAGCCCCTCTCCAATCTCTTGGGTTGCTTCAAACAGCAGTTCTTTGGTCTCATACTTCACCATTCTTGTGAACTCCCTGAAGCCCATCACACTCATGACTCTTACACTACAGCACTTCAAATACCGACTATAGCTCTCTTCCTTCTGCACCATTATCCCACTACCAAGCTTTAGAAGTTCTAAAATCAAGAAATCCGGGCTGTGTACTGTAATGTCCATGTCAGAAAAACACGGCCAGACCCATGAACTTGATAACCCAACATCAGATGACTTCACTAAACACCTAAATGCAGTTGCTTTCCAGCAATACAGCTTTGGGTTAACCAAGTATGTGGCTTTATAAACATCTCTCCTCAGTACATACGCTTAAGTTCCCAGTGAGAAAATTCTGCCTCCTTTATGGCAGTAGCTCATTTACCTTCAGAGTCCTTCTCATAGAAAACACCATGAGGATGAATTGTATACGGTCGACCAGCAAAATTTTTTAGGTGTACTTTAATAGTATCCCCCACTTCTGCTCGGATGACCGGCCCCAGGAACCCCAGCCAGCCAGGTTTGGGAATCTCAGTGGTGTACGTGGAGTCTGTGTACTGCTTATAGACAGCTTTCTTGTATGTGCTTCCCACCCTGTCTTTGCCAGACTGGAGGAATGTTGAGGCCTTGCTGTTAAATTCAGAAAAGGGAAAGTCATCATGAGTCATGCATCATATGAAACAGCTGGTCAATAACACAGTAGAGTGATGATGACACACAGCTTTCCCAGGTAAGCCCAAAAGCTCTGGCATTACAGGGGACTGCCTGTGCTCTACCCTAGCATGCTCCAAGACACTTGTGAACTTTTCCTCCCACATCTCTGACAGCCATGACATGGGTAGTGCAGCCTGCTTGGGAAACAAGCAGCACTGGCCATTAAGACTTGTCAGCTTTCCAAGCATGTGAAACATAACAGGGGGACATCAGCACATTAACAGCTCAGTGAGCCTGGGACCACTGCCACAAGTACAGCCAGATGCCGACCGCCTGCTGCCATGCACAGCCACAGCCTCACCCCCAGTTCTTCACAAACGGACACAAAGTGCACCCCTGAACTGTGCAGTGCAAACAAGGAATGGGAAGGATGGTGCCTCTCTGATAATCACATGTGAGTGACACAGGGAAGACTGAAGCCCTTTTCATGCCTGCTTCAGCCTTCATTGGGCTTTTTGAAACTCACTTCAATGCCCTCATGGCATTTGCAGCTAAATCACAAGAGGGGTGTGGGGAGAATAAAAATCTCCTGAGAGCTCTAGACAAAATTCACAGTCTAAAAAGATGATTCTCTACTTAACAGATTCTGAATTACTTGTAGAATGGCAGATGAGTCAGGCAGGTACATACCCAGCAAGTAACCAAATTCCAGAGTTAAAACCTCATACAGGTACTAAAGTTCAATTCATGAGTACATTTGCTCTTTACGACCAATTCTCAGTAGATAAGACATGAATCATGGCCCAGGTATTAGTGGGACAGGCCTAAATGAGAGCTGAGATTACTCTCCCACTTCCCCTTTAGTATCAATCACCCTGCAGTAACATAAGTAGCCCTAAAATACAGGCAAACACTAATGTGTATCTCCAGAAGATGAACAGTTGAGACCAAAACATCAAGCATTGCCCTTGTCATTCAAAATTGTGAAGGGCTGGGCTCTAGCTATACAATCTAGAGTTCATCCCTTTGTGAAGTCATCCCTGCAGCCACTACTAGCAAAGAGTTTACAGATAATTCATACTTCATTTTACAGATCTGCCTTCTTTCCCCCATACATAGTCCATTTCTCCCCAACACAAAAAAAATCTTTCTTTATTATGGAGGGGTAAATGACCAAGATAAGGTCAAAAATACTGGTTATTTGCCATAAAAAAATGAGGAGGTAGAAAACAAAGCACAAATGCCTTTAAAAAGCTGTGGAAAGATATGGGGGGGGGGGGGGGGGCAGGGCGGGGTGAAAAACACCAAAACAAAACACCAAAGAAAAAGGACTGATGTTTTGAAAATTAAAACCAAAACTTGTTTTTGTAGTGACTCAAAGTAATTATTGCAGTTTCCAGATTTACTTTTGCAACAAAAACATTTTTCAAACAACCCCTACGATTTCATGCAGGAAGTTCAGGAAGTTCCATTAAGTCTAAGGCTTAAAATTCCATTTAAACAAAAACAATCTAGCTCTGTGAAGTCATTTACATTAAGGTGAAAAGTCATCATGCCTCAGGATATACAAGCTGTTCACCAGCTGGAACTAAGAAAAATGAAACCCCAGGGCAGAGTATTGTGCAATCTGTTCTGTTGGAGAGTGTTTGTGCTTCCCTCTAGTGTATGGGCACTGGCCACTGAATGCTCCATTAAACTGACCGTTTTCCCACTGATACCATTTCTATGTTCCTATGATAAAACAAGTTAAACATTAAGCTCAATGATCAGACATCTATCTGATCGTGTCTTTTGCTTGTTTAGATGCCTCAGAATACTTGCATGAAAGTACTCATAAAATTACTATTTTAAGCCAGTACTAGACTGAATTTTTATAGAACTAAACATACAGGTTATGTGCAATGCTTTGGTTAGCAAGTACGTTCTTTCCTGTTGGAGCATAGTTCCAGTCCACCTCGCGGATCCCCAGGTAATAGACTCGGGTGACACCTCCAGCACATGTAGGTGATAGCATGTGGATGTAAAGCAGAAACAACCAAAACAATCCCATCATAGCCTGAAGTGAAGGCGCTTTTGGAGGTTAGACCTATTTGGGAGAAAATTAAAACAAATATGAAACAGAAGTAGAATATGACCACATGATTTGAAGGTACTGACCATTTTGAGAGGGTATGAAGAAGTCAAGCAGAAGTTCTATTGGGACCGTTATTCACTCATCTAAGAAGGAAATCACTCCCATAACAAAATTAATGCACAAAGTGGATGGAGATTATTCAGTGCTAATCAGTCCCCAATACCAAATGTGCTTCTCTTGTAACAGTACAATTAACCTTATTTTTTCCTTTGTCTGTAGTTCTCTTCCAAATGCTTTGTTCCATAGTGTTGAGAAAATACTGCTAATTCTATAAGCTCTCATATAGTAGGAGATGATGAGGTGAACAGATACATAGAAGGCACTATTTTAGCAGAAAAAGCACATGTACATCCTATATGCTGTGTAGCTATCTTAGGGCAGTGGGGTCCTGAGCAAAGATTGCCACTTGCACTGGAATTTCAAGTTACTGTTTTTTTCACCATCTGATGTCCCAGATCATTTTACAGCACCACATACAAAGCTCAGGAAAATAATCCTGAGTAAGTGTCTTTATATTTTAGACTGTTGCCAAGATTTCTCTATTCTACTAAGCCACCTGAAGAAGTACAATTTAGTCACTATGAAGTAATTTTAAATTCTAACTTCTTTAAAGATTGCTCTTAAAGAGTGGCTCTCTGTAATCGAGGGAGTGCATCTCAAATGAGCTGCACAAGGTTTTTTTGCTTAGTCTAATTCCATTAGATATTTTCCCCATGACTTGATCGTAAAGTAAGGAGCTTATTCATAAAACTTCCAATCAACACCAAGCTTAGTGTGAATAAACACCAAAAATACCCTGAAGAGAAATCCAGGGCAAGTTGCAGAAATTGTCTGAAACCACAAAAATAAAATTCTGTGAATATAAGTTCAAAGAACTACCTGTATGAAGGAGAAACTAATGCAATATGGGGCAGCAGAATTTTACCAAAGGATAAGAAAATAGCTTAGGGTTCAAATAGATGACAAACTAAATAAAAACACACATGAAAATGCTTAAGAAAGATGCCATCCATGGGCACAATTAACAAAGCTGGATATAATCAATAATTAAACTGCCACCTAAAACAGATGTTCAGCTCCTGAGACAAATAACAGCAACTTAGAAAACATTCAGAAGAGAGAAACAGAAAGCAAGAGAATTAGAATAACATGACCTAGGAAGAAAGCTTAAAGGAATTGGTTTTCTTTAACTTCAGAAAGAAGGGTATGGTGACATAACACCATGTCAAACACAGAAAGGTTTTTTTATAAAGAGGTTGTCAGTATTTATTCTCTCATCTTTGCCAAAAGCAACATGAATATATCAGGTTTATCTGTAGCAAAGCTGAATCTGCTGTAAGCTTTCAGCTAGCACGGCATTGCACTAGAACAGCTTTCCCAGAGAAGCTGTGAAATCTCTTACCACATCCAATACCCAATATACAGGATTCAACTCCAGCACGTGGCAATGGGCTAGATCCCTATTCATATCACTTCCAGACCTGTATTTCTGATTTCCAAACATGCTGTACTATCCTCAGAAGCTAATGATAAGCAAGTATTAGCCATTCCAAACAGTCATTAAGTTGAAAGCAACTCTCAGCTTGGAAAAACCTTCTTTCCCTCCTTTCTCAAAAGGGAGCTGTAGGGATCTCTAAACCCGAAATGGCTTTGATCTGTTAACATAGTATAGCTCTGCTCCAGCAGCAAGCCCTTCAGAAGGTCCTGGTCACACACCTGAAGAAACTCAGGTACACAACAGCCCCTTCCCAGTGGCCTGGCAAAGCAGGGATGATGGCAGAGCACTTGTTTAATCCTGCTGCTGTGCACTGCACACCAACCTCACCGACGTTATTCCCTGCAATTGCTGCTCCAGTAACTGGTGCTGCTCATGGGGAGGTGAAACACCCGCACTGATCTTTCTGTGCCAATAAAGAGGTTTCAGAGCAAGGAGTTCAGAAAGCTGTGCCCATGCCATTTCACACACGCCATAGTAGCAAAAGGCAGTGGTGACAGCAACAAGGAGAAACAAAGCCAGTGGCGCCAGCCCTCAGCCCAAAACCTCCTGTCCTGTCAGCACACACCCTGTGGGGAAGGGCAAGGGGATGCTTTTGACTCAGACGAAGAAGTGGCCTTCCTGTCAACGTGGGTCAAAGTACACAGGAGCAGCTTTCCGGGGAAAGCGCCAGCGCATGGGATGGCCATCCTCAAGGACTGGGAACCGCTGAGCCTGGGGAGTCAGTGTGGGCTAATCTTTATTATGTCCTCTTGTGTTAATGGTTTTTGCAGCAATATCAAATCATAGGAAAGGGCAAATCCTAGACTTTATACCAAGGGTGAACAGCGACTCTTAAAGTTGGTTGTGAAACCTGCCTACTGAGGCAAATCCCCACTGCCTCAGCCCACTATTTCTACGTGGCAGAGTCCCTGCTTACCACATCAAAGCTCCACACTGCAGCATCAGTAAGCTTATCAGATAAGCCTGACTCAGACAGAAGTCACTGCAATCTAAATGTCTTGTGAATGTGCTCTGGCATTCAAGAAAGGAAGGACAAAGTCTTTGGGACAGCCTTACTGAGGCTTTACAGAAGTCCCATCTGGATCTCAGGCTGAAGCTGGATCACAACATTGCACATACTTCTGTGGCAATTTTAGGAAACAACAAAACAACATCATTCAATGACGATTCAGCAGGTTAGACTGATTTTGTTCTATCTCTTTACAGTGACTAATCACCATTTAGTTACTCTACCAACAACCAAGAAACCAACAACCTTAAATTCTCTTCAAAAAAAGTTAATTTTCCTTTGAAATATATGCATGGATTATGGAGGAAAAAAAAAAAAAAAAAAAAAAACAAACAAAACAACCAACCAACCCAAACTTTGTATTACATTCATCCCTGAACCTTGATACTTTATAGCAGAATCCCAGGACTTCTCTTTGCTGATTCACTAATAGTATAGGAATTGCAAATGAACAGAAAATTAGATTTCAGGCTATTTGATAGCTAACCAGCTTCCATTTTATCAAGACAGATAGACTGACCGCAGGGTTCTTTCTTGACACCTGACTGCAGAGAAACCATTGCTCAAGGAAGAGGGGGGGGGGGGTGGGGGGAAGCGTTAAATAAATGAAAGAAACCGTTCCATCCCTTACTTGCGGAGCGGGGCTGGCCGCGGGCTCTGCTGGAAGGGCGAGAGCGTCAGCCGGGAGCCATCTCCCGCGGCGGGAGCTGCGGAGTGAAGATGCACAAGCGCCAGCGGGGACAAAGTCTGGGTTGTAAAAAGGGGCGCAGCCTGTCACCTCCCACGGGCTGCCGAGCCCCGGCCCTCCCCGCGGGGCCCCGCTCCAGGGACCCCAAAACACTCCCCCCCACCCCCCGCTCCCCCCAAAACACTGCCCCCCCCCCCCTCACTCCCCAGAGACCCGCCGGCGGCTTCCCCGCCGGCTCCATCTCCTCGCCACGCACCTGCGGATCGCGCCCCGGCCCGGCCACGCTTCGCGGGGGGCTCCGACCGCGCACAGGGAGCGGGGGCCGCGCGCACCTTTGCCCGGCCCCGGGACTCGACCCCCGCGGTGCGCCGAGGCCGGGGAACAAAAGGGATGGGGAGGGGGTTACGTGGGCGCCGGCACTTACCTGCCGGGTGGGGCGGGACGCGGGTAGACGCGGCCCGGCCCCACGCCCGGCCCGGCCCCGCCAGTGAGCCCTCCCCGGGGACACGCCAGACGCGGCGGGGCGGGCCCCTTTAAAGGTGCCCCGTGATGTCACGGGGCCGCGCGCCGCTCTCCCGGGGGAGCACAACAAGAATCACGCTGGCAGCCGCCGGGGCGGGCGGGCGAGAGGGCGGGGCCGCGGCGGGGGGGGGGGGGCTCGGACCAATGAGCGGGCTCCTCCGGGCCGGAGGCCAACGCCCCGCTGAGAGCGTCACGGCCGCCGTTGGTTGCCCCGCCCTCCCCGGCCCGTTGCACGAGAGTGCGGCCCGGCCCGAGGATGCGGGAAGGGTCGGCGCTGCCCGGCGCCCCCGGCGCCGCCCCCGTCCCCGGCTTCCTGGCCAAGCTCTGGGCGCTGGTGGAGGACCCGCAGAGCGACGATGTCATCTGCTGGAGCAGGGTGAGGGCGGCCCGCGGGGCCCTGGCCCGGCCGCGACGGGCGGAGTGGGGCCCGTGCGGCACGAAGCGGGTGGCGGGGAGGGAGACACGCGTGGAGGGCGGTGGGAGACCCGGGAGGAGGCGGGGAGGGGGTGGATGGCGCAGGGGCTGCGGGGCTCTGCGGCCGGGGCGGGGGCTGCGGAGGGGCCCTTGTGTCCCCTGGGGAAGCGGCGGGTCGGGGCGCGCCGAGATCCCCCGAGACCGGGGGTTCGTGTGCGTGGTAGGTGCAGCGGTAACGGCGTGGGCCGGCACCTTAGCGGGGAAAGCCCCGTCACGGGCAGGAAGCGGTGAAAGGGTGGGCGAAACAGGCACGCGTGGGAGCGCGTCTGCTGGCGGGTGGAGGGTCCGGGTCCGGGTCCCACCCCCCCGCTGCAGGGAACGCCTGCGTCCACGCGTGACGGTTCAAAGCGATCTGGCACTGCACAGCAGAGCACATCCGAGCGTTCAAATCTCAAATTACACGCCATTAGCTCAAAGTGGTGGCACTCGGTAGAAAAGACGCTTTAAGAAGTAATTAACTTTTAATTTTTTTCTGAGATTAGGAAGATGGGCCTTGTCGGTCCCGTGCGCCTTCAGGCATAGGTCATTACAAACCTACACAGACTAGAAAGGCATCCGACACAAACACAGTATTTATTTTTGTCCCCTGTCATTTTTAAATCTGTAGGACTTTGTCAACTTTTCTTTCAGAGGTTTGGCCTTTACAAAGGCAAATGTAAAAAGAAATGTAGTATTGTTGTTCTCTTTGTGAACAGCATAAAAGTGATACAAAGACCTGCAAGGTTTTCGGGAAGTTTGAACTTGGGAATATGAGAAATCTAAAACTGCTTGTGTCACAGTTACCCTTTTTCACCGCTGGGTTGTGTTGTCTGAAGTTTCGGTAATTCTGCAGTGTTACTTGGTTATTTTTAGTGGTGACATAGTACATACAATGGAAGAATCTCGTCAGGAGCTGGGCAGCTCTGATCAAGGGAGATAAAAGCCCTCTAGTGGCATGGATTCCATGGTGCTTGAGCAATATTTGTTTCCGGTGGACAAAGAGAGCAGCAGATACATGTGATTTTACAATGATTTTTCTTTGGATTAAGATCAAAACTCCAGGGCTTTAAAAAAAATCCCCAGTTCAATAGAAGCGTTCCGTGTAACTATTTTTTTGGATTTAAACTTTTAGTACAGTCCCAAGTACTCAGACTTGCTCACACAGACAATTCCCTTTGCTAAATGGTTTGCCTTTCCCTGCTGTAGGAACTGTCTCTGTTGCTTTATGGTCTTGACTTAAAAGCAACTCCTTAGAAAAATTATGCTTGTTCTCTGACTGTTACTTCTGCTTGTTTCCTAGAATGGTGAGAACTTCTGCATTCTGGATGAGCAGAGGTTTGCAAAGGAGCTACTCCCCAAGTACTTCAAACACAACAATATCTCCAGCTTCATACGACAGCTTAACATGTGTAAGCATCAGCTGTTCTTATGTATTCTTTCTGCCAAGTTCTTTGCTGCTTGGCATAAATTTGAATTTCTTTAAATAAACCAATTGACTTGGTAGGTCTTTCATCTCTGAAAACCTGAATTCCGGTCTTGAGTTTGCTTTGCAAAAGAAAAGAATAACAGTAGAGCTTGGCTTAGTCTTTGTTTTCTGTGTTTCCTCTGAGTCCTTTTGAGCAACAACCATAAAAATATTGTTTCATGTGCTGGTACCTAAAGCTTGGGCAGAATGCACTGGGCTCCAGTGGTAGTGTTAATGGTAATGGTAACAGCAAACTTATACATACCTAGAACAGAGGCCATATCTATAGCCATGCATCTAATATATGGGAAAAAAATGTCTAGATCGTACTGTTGCCTGCATTGCTGTGTTGAAACAAGGCTAGTCATGCTGATAGATTAAGCTGGACTAGGTTTCTCATTGTTTTCTGTGCTTGACTTGTGAGCATCATGTATTATCCATTATATAACCCATGTCCAACTTGTACAGGCAAAGAAACTGGAGTGAGGTGGTAATTCAAAGTTACAGTACAATGTGTGGGGCTGCAATACACGGCAGAAATAGTTGTTTTGCAGCAGATAGTTTACAGGATGAATGAAGGCACAGATTGCGTAGGAAATGGTCACCTTATTTAGAATTTCCATTAGAGTAAGGGGGAGGAACTCTCTGTCCAGTAGGTTTGCCTGGTCTCTTTGGCTGATGCCTATTGAGATGTTGTCAGACACAAAAGAGAAAGCATGTATTCAGCTTCCTGATACCGGGTGAATGTTGCTGTTTGTGTCAAGTGTTAGGACTCTTTCACTTGAATGTCGAAGGATAATGCAAACAAACAACTGTCAGTTACCTTGTGGCAAGGGTAAATGCTAGAATGCAAATATTTCTATGAAGACGTGCAGTGTGATGGCAGCCTTCTTTTCCTGCTGGACCCACCTATCCTAGCTTCAAGTAAAGTTTTCTAATGATGGCTCTGTTGGGGTGCAGTGAAACTGGGATACATGTTAAAAACTTGAACAAGGAGAGATATGGATTGGCCTGTTAACTGTATTTTGCATCTATCCTGTGGTACTTGAAGCAGTGATGGAACTAGAGCTGACAATGTCATATTTCATGCAGACAGTCTGGTACAGAAAAAGTACTCTGCATGCATGTGTTTGCATAGGCTGAGAATTAATTTATCATCCTTAATTCTGTAGACCCTGGTGGTACATGACAGCACTTGTTTTGATATGTAGTTTTCTGGGATTATAGGCATGAAAGGGAAGGTGCACCGTTCCACGGCTTCCACTGGGACAAGATTTTATTCAAGATGTCCTAATAAATCTAATTTCTAACTGACTTCTGTGTTTATTTGGACATCACTCTATTGCTTAGGGATGATAGCTGGCCTCTGCCATGCATGCTTTTCGTACAGCCTGCGAGGTTTTTTGATAGTATCCTGGACATGTCCTCTAGCTGTGAAGATCAGAGCAGTCAAATCATTGAGCAACAAAGAAAAGCTGCTTTGGCTGGTTTTCATAGTTTCTGCTCCCAGTAACTATAGTGCTATAGGTATTTCAGTACCCTTGGGTTTTTCTTTAGCTATGTGTTGTAACAGTCAGCTTTGCACTGAAAGAAATGACTTTGTTAATACCTCTCCACAGATGGTTTCAGGAAGGTGATTGCTCTGGAGAATGGTATGATTACAGCAGAGAAAAGCTCAGTTATTGAGTTCCAGCACCCTTTCTTCAAGCAAGGAAAGGCACATTTACTAGAAAACATCAAGCGCAAGGTACAGTCTAAGAATGTATTTACTTTACTTGTGTAAGAAAAGTAGTCTATCAAGAGCACGTCTGGGGGTTTCAGACACTTTAAAGCCAACAAATTCCATGGGAACCAAGGTTGTGCATCATGATGCAAGCCTTTGTAACTCCCTCCTGAATGCACCCTAATGCTTGGCTTGGCCTCCTCATGCCAGCTCTTAGACAAAACACACCCTGCTGTCATTTAGCAATGCACTGGAGTAGGACTGCATTCTTCGTAGCTGTCAAACTAGAGCCCTTTTTCCACAGAGAGTTCATATACCTGATTACAGCTTAGCATGGTCTTCAATTCTGCCAGCATAGCAGAATTGGAAAGTCACAAAGTGAAATAAGTAAAAGAAAATACATTTCCATTTGGTGCTCACTGAAAATTAGCAAGGGCATCAGCAATCAGTTCATTTGGACAAGTGCTTAAATTACATTGTTCCTCCAAAACAATATTGCCACTAAGCTACATCTTTATTAGCGCTTTGCTGTTTTCTCTTGTACATTCAGGTCTTGTCTGACCTATTTCTGCACAAATATTTATTCTCCACTGGCACATTATAGCCCATAATATCCTGGCTGCCAGAGAAAGAGAGTATCATGATACATCATGTTGACATTTGAACTGCAGATCTTTTCCTTAGAACGTCGTAATGTGGTGGCAATATTGCCCAAGTTAATAAAAACACAGGGTAGGCTTGAGAATCACAATTGTGTTTTGATTGATTCTTCACTGAGCTGTCTCTGCTCTGAATCACAATTGATTAAATATAGTTGTACAGTTGCTTCTCTGACTCAGGCCTGTGCCCTTCCCAGATGCTGTAATCACTAACTTGTCTTGGCTTGCACACCTTGCTTGCTGGTATGTTGGGGCAGTCAGCTGATGACATTATGTATGGCACCATGTATCCCAGGAGTGTTGCACTGGGTGGAGTATTCTAGATGGAAAGACAAAAGCTCTAGTTAGTGCCAGGGACATCTCATGAAACTATTGAATAGGTTGGTGAAACATATTATTTGTTGCACAGGAAATGTTAGTGATTTTTTGCAAAACATCCATTAGTTTTTCTGGCTCTTGTTGTCTGGAATGGAGCCATATTTCAGTAGTTGCTATAAACTGGATTTCAAGCCTCTAAGAGAAATGCAAGTTTAAATGCAGGATTTCCTTTGTTTGTTCCTTGTTAGTTTTATCTCTGCTGGTGTGCTTCAGTTTTGACACCCTTATTATCTGTTTAGAGACTCTGAAAAGAGCAATTCCCTGCACTTGAGCAAAATATTTTAGTTTGGCCCTTTTTTTTAGAGGCAGTCTGACTGCATTTGAAATTTCCATCTGCTGTCTGCATCTTTTGGATGCCTTCCCTGTGGAGAGGTGGTATGCTGAAGAAAATAGTTATTTCTGTGGAGTGATTACATAACAATTATGTTCTGTTTCATTGTGAAGTGATGGGGTGTTATTTTATAACACTGTAGGTCCATTTCTGACCATCCCATTCTCCACTTAATAAAAGGCATCTGTGAGCCAACCTGCATGGAAGTTATCTAGCACTTCAGCGGGCCAGTCCAAGATGCTTTCACCCCCCTCTTGGTATTTAGTGCAGTAAGGAAAATCATTGCATGCTGTAGGTTGGAAGGGACATCTGGTGGTTATCTGGTGCAACTCCATTTATTTCAGTTATGGTCAGTATTTGCCTAAATGATTTTTGAAATTATGCCCATAAAACCTGGACATGTCATTCAGACATATGATGCACCAGACCTATCTTTTTCAAAATCCCGAATTGTATGTTAGCTGTCAGTGCCACCACTGCAGAGAGAGTTGCTGAAGGAACTGGAAAATTTTGAGTATGGAAGTGTGGGGAGGAGAGTGTGAGATTTTTGCTTTCTGATGACTCTTCCACCATTGTTTGAAGAGGTGGCATTCATGGATTCTGCTGTGGGAAGAAGACCAGTTTAGAGACTGACTTTCTGGAGGCAATTCTCCATAACTTTTGAATGTTACTGAGCAGAGAAGTAATAGAGGAATAGAGGAAACACCAATATGGGAATCTGCAATTCAGGTTGTGTGGGACAAATTTTCAAATTGAGTAGGATACATCTAATTAGACACCTTCCTTCCCCCCCCTAAGTAACTTACGGAAATTTGTTACTCCTAGGGTGGCAGATTTACCCACACTTAAAAGGAATATGATCATCTTGTTCTTACTCCAATATAATTGTTTTGATTTTGGCTGGTGTCTTGCTCTTTGACACTAGAGGGCAAGCTGCCACCAGACCTGTCAGAAAGAACCCATAGGGAAGCTCACTTTCAATCAGGAGTAGGTTTTTATCATGAATTACAATGATGAATCTACTGTCTACATGTATGAAGTGCTAATCTCATGTTTTCATTGACAGCTGCTTTTTTTCATACAGTCTAGACTGTCCTAACAACTGTCATCTATAGCAATTGTGGTGTTTTGTGATACATAAGAATTATAGTATTACCTAATCTTTTAATGGAGTTTACGCCTATTCTTTTACAGACTAAATACACTATTACTGTAGAGGGGAGTATGCAAGGCACTGTTCATAGTAAAGCATGTGTAATGTGGTCCTCTTTTAGGTATCTGCAGTAAGAACTGAGGATCTCAAGGTCTGTACAGAGGATTTACACAAAGTACTCTCTGAAGTCCAGGAAATGAGAGAGCAGCAGAACAACATGGATGTCAGACTGGCTAACATGAAGAGGTAGACCCCGTCTGTTTCAGAGGCACTTGTACACTGAATGTTGCTTATATCTAATGGAACTTGGCTTTAAATGTGGGTTTCATTTGAACTGGAAACAGGTGAAGCTATATTTTTTTTCTAAGAATCCCCATTCCACCTCGCACAACATTATGAGTCTTGTTTGCTTTTATAATTCAGTTACAGACCAGAGATTAAGTCTGGGAGTTTGTTGACTATCTTGAGATTTCATTTTGGTTGCCATCACCTTTAGTAGTCTTTTAGGGCAATCAAAGAATTTCCTTTCCTAAACACAAAACAGGGTTAGATGCAGTGAAGAATTAGTCTTTGGTTTCCTTTCTAATTGGAAGTGGACTTTGCACATCCTCATCTCTGTTCCCTTAGATCCTTTTTATATAGGCACTGGTAATTCATTGAGATCATTGATATACAAGCAGGTATCAACCAAAGCTCAGGAGATATCTTCACTCCACTCCCTCTGTTCCTTTAAAAAAAACCCGAACAAAACAAAAAAACCCTCAAACACAAACTTTGAAACTGTTCTGAGATGGTCTGTGTTATGCCTGTTTCCAAACACCAACTCTTTAATCTAAGTCTTTGAGGCTTTGAAGGAATACCTGAGGTCAAGATTATTGGTGGAGCAGCAGAGGATAAGAATGTCCTTATTAGTGAGTGTTTGGTCCTGCCTGATGGAAAATTGAGTTAATTTAACCCAGAGTTTATACTAGTGGATTGGATTAACTGATTGTTAGTTATCCACAGAAGGAATGTTGCCATTGGTCCTGCAAGGTACTGTGAAAGCTTGAAAGCTGTAAAACTAAAGCATATAAAGTAAACTCTGTTCATCCTCTGTCTTCTGATTTATTCTGCATTGCAGAGAAAATAAGGCCCTGTGGAAAGAAGTGGCAGTTCTAAGGCAGAAGCACAGTCAACAACAGAAGCTGCTGTCTAAGGTACCATTGCAGCCTCTTCAGTGCTACCATCCTTATTCCTGCCTCTGTGATACTTGATGGCATTCTTTGCTTATGTAGAATGACAAATGACACAGAGCTGAACAGGCTATATTAATACAGCAGAAAGAAAATGTTCACAGTTCCTGAGTGTCCCAGAAGTAGCACAGCAAAGAACCACGAGCAAAATACTAAGGAAAAGTCATAGTAAAAAGGATTTCAGTGTGTTTGAAATATCAGTGAATCTTATCTGGAGAGAAATCAGTAAATCAAGCTGACCTGGGGTAAACGTGGTGCATGGTAGTGCATGGTAACAGAAGCCTAAAACAAGAAATTGCAGGTACATGGAATGGAATCTGTGAAAGATCTTGGACCAAGACAAACTTAGAGCACTCAAGAAGTCAACTTGGAACCCAGAAACTATAGGAGCTTCTGCACTAGAACAAATTTTCTCTGGTTTATCCCTCAGCTGTTTCTGGTCTGGAATCCTCTAGTGACTTGTGGTGTTATATTACATTTAAAAAAAAGAAATCCATCCAAGTGGGATAATTTTTCAATGCCATTTGTAACTATCATTTTGGTTTTAAAGACGTGAACACAAATGGATTTTTAATTTACCTATTAATTTCTATCGCATAACTACATAATTTTGTAGTAAAATCTGAATTAACAATTTAATGTTGGGATTGCTATGCTGACCACTTCTTTTGGTTTTTTGTTTTTCCTTTTTAGATTCTTCAATTTATACTAAGTTTGATGCGAGGAAATTATATTGTTGGGGTCAAAAGGAAAAGGTAATTACTGGATAGGTCACAAATCAGTGTCAGATGTGATTTATAGGGATAAACCACCTTCTAGAAGCAAGATATTTTTCCTAAAGTGTGTGAAGAATATTTTTATCACTTGTATATTCAAACTTGAGGAAGCTCATGGAAGTTGAATAAAGCATGAAATAAAGATTTCCTCTTCTTTATCAGTAAAGTAATGGGTGGGAAGATAATATACTCTACATTTTAAATTTCAAAGGGCTCAGTTATCAGAAATAGTAACTCTTTCAAAATGTGCAAATGTGACTGACTTATTCAAAACAAAATGCATGTTTAGAATGCAACCTGTCTGCTGTACACTTACTTACTAAAAAACAATTACAAAAATCCACTTTTCTTAGAAGTGGAAGAATGGTTGCTCTTACCCTTACTGCACATATTTGACATTGCTACAGCTTTTTACAGCAGAACTATATGCTAAAGCTATATTTTGTCTCAGGTCTCTAACGGATGCTGCAGGTGCTTCACCTTCCAAATACAGCCGTCAGTATGTTCGCATACCTGTGGAGAGTGGCCAAGCAGTAAGTCTTCCCCGGGAAAGAGACAATGGGTTGGGAAGGGTGATATACAGTGATCTCAAAGTCTTCCTTATACCTATTGATACCCTAATCTTATAATCAAATGCACTCCATTTTGAAATGGGCAGCTTTAAATCATTCTCTAAAAAGCACTCTCTAAAATCATGTAAATCAGTACAACTAATCGTAGATGAAATCTGAGCAGGAAATAGAAGCTACAAGAAGAATGGAGCTTCATCATCAAAGAAGTCGGACCTTTGGGTTTACTCATTCTATTTGCTGTATCCTGCAGATGGCTTTTTCTGAACATAATGCAGATGATGAGGATGGAAATGGTACAGGTCTCATCATTCGAGATATCACCGATACCCTGGAAAATGCCACCGATGGTCTCCTTGCTGTGGCACACACAAGTGGCAGAGCCAGGTACATTTAAAGGATGTGGAAGTATCTATGTTTAGGTTGTTAACTTGGTAGTTAGGTTAGTATAAGTGTTCCATTTGAATTCTGGGAAGCAACCTCTCTGAATTTTTACATTTGTGCATGACAGACCTGTTTGTAGGCTATGTTTTTCACAGCATGTAGCATTGGTCATGGTCAGCAAAGCTTTTTAAGAACTCATGTCTCTTCAGCAGTGCCTGAAGGTCTATCAAGCTGACTGGCACTTGAAATTCAATTTGCTGAGGCTTTTCTGTCTACTCAGCAAATAAGCACATACTTAACTTTTCAACTGAACAGGGATCTGAATGCATATATAGGTTACTAATAATCCAAAATGAATATAAGTTACTAATAAACAAATCAAGTCGTATAGTTTTATCTCCTGTTTCAGTACTATTCTCGCTAACATTATGCTAAGCATAACCGAAGGGAAGACATTCTTTTGTGTGGCATCAGGTTCTTGTGAAAACCCATTTAGTTCTTGACATTCCAGAGTGAAATGTGGACCAATCTGGAATCTTTTTCCAGAGATACAGTGTTAGGAGTTTCTGCCCTGCCTAATTTCCATATACTATTTTGCTGCTTTTTGCCTGGCAAAATAGAGTGTTTTGCTCTGATTCATGCTATCTGTATAAGCTGTAATAAGAGATTCTTCATCTGCCTTTAGGAAGGCACTTTTTCTTCTTTTTCTAAAGACCACTTGGTTGTTTGAACCCTTGACTGGCTTGACCTTATTAGGTATTAAAATTTGAGATACTAAACTTGAAATGAGTAGTAATACAGTTGATGAATTCTCCTGTGTGTTGTTTCTCTTTGGGTCATGTTATAGAGACGCACAGGCAGCTCTGGATCCTGGCTTACCTATTTGTCAAGTAGCACAGTCAAATGACTTAAATTGCGCAGAACCTATCCCACCGGTTCATATAAATGATGTCAACAAATCCAGTGAAATAGGAAATGTTGCTGTGGAACTCCATACTGCACAACCTAATGCTCCAGAAGACCCTGTGTCAGTGATTGACTCCATTTTGAACGAGAACAACTCTGGAAACCAAAATGATCCTTTACTGGACAGGTATTAACTCGTTTCTGGAAACTGTTATGCTGTTGTCATCCTGTGGGATCTTGTCAAAATTTTAGAGGATGTGTATAAAAGAACATAGTGAATTAGCTTTTTTAATGTAGTTGATGAACTAAATTTCCTGCCCCTTCGTTATCAGGTCTTGAAAAAGACAAGTGTTAGCATCATACACTAAAAGCAGAACAAGTTCATCTGTCACATCTTTGATATTGAGTGTGCTTGACTTCTGATGTGTCAGTCTGAGGATTGGTGAGGTCACATCAGCCCTTGTATCACCAACCACTGGCACTGCCAAACAGCAGATCAAGGGTAGTGATATCAGGAGGGCACCATGTGCTGCTTTGTTTCTGAGAACTGGATCTGGATTCATGTCAGTGGTAGTCTGATGTAGTTTTGCTCTTGCTTCCTTTCTTTGCCCCTCATTTTTGCAAAGGCTTGTTTCCCTTGTACATTGTCAGATCAGACCCACACCTGGGATCAAAATCATGCGGGCTATGGTTTCACACTTGGCAGCACTGCTGCTTAAGCAGTTCCTATCTCTGCACTGGCCCTGAGCTTTATTGGTGCCATCATTTGTGTGGCTGCAGAGTGAGCTGGATCAAGGAACAAACTTTAGTTCTTCTTCCTGACAGCTCTTCTGCTGTGGTTAACTTCAGGTAGGAAGTACTGAGATGATGTGTCACAGCACTCAGTGTAATCTGAAAGCCCTGTAATGTCACAGAATCACAGAATGGTTTGGGTTGGAAGGGACCTTAGAGATCATCTAGCTCCAACCCCCCTGCCACGGGCAGGGACACCTTCCCCCAGCCCAGGGTGCTCCCAGCCCCGTCCAACCTGGCCTGGAACCCTCCCAGGGAGGGGGCACCCACAGCTGCTCTGGGCATCCTGGGCCAGCGCCTCACCCCCCACACAGGGAAGAATTTCTGCCTTAGATCTAACTTAAATCTACCTTCTTTCAGTTTAAGGCCACTACCCCTTGTCCTATCACTACATGCAGCCTAGTCTGGCTCTCATCTTGCCCCACAGCTGTAAGAACCGAGAGGTCAGCACATCATTTCTAGGATTTTTTCCTGCCTTGTGGTATAAAAGAAGGCCCTAACTGCCAATTATTTCTTACAGTACTATATCATTTTATCCTTTTAGAGAAGAAATTCAGGATTTTCTTAATTGCATTGATGCCAGCCTTGAAGAACTTCAAGCAATGTTATCTGGGAAGCAGTATAACTTTGGTTCTGAAGCTTTCAGTGATGTGAGTGCCTCTTCACTTTTTCTGATTTCTGAAAACTACCCATTAGTTTGCATTATGAAACATTACTGTTTTATTCCGCATTGTAATGATCAAGAGTGGGGGAAATCCTGAAAAACAAATAGTTATGGATAGAATAATACCTAATCATTCTAGAAGTCCAGCAATGTACAAGGTAACATTGAGAGCCCTTTTCGGTTCATATAGTATTTCTGTTATATATAACTCAAGGAAAAAAAAAAAAAAGGAAAATATTGGACTCTCTTCTCCTTCTCAAACCTTTGTCACATATCAACACATCCTGATTACGCGTTTGATTATGTATTATGATATGGAATGAAACTCAGCCATATACCTGGAATCACTTGGTAATATGGCATCCTTTTTTTCTTCCCATGACCTCAGTTTACTGGCACAGGTTGAAAGTAAGTATATTGCTGTAGGCCTGTGGAGGAGCCACCTTCCCTGTGCTTCAGTGGATAGAGTGGTATGCTGTATCCTGCTGTCCTTTCAGGAGCTCTCTGAAGTTTTAAGAACCTTATTATATGACATATGGTCTGATTTTATTTTCAGACACTTAATCCTGAGCTGCCAGCCCTGGATATGAGCTTGATGGAAACTTCTCCTGGTATGGAAAATGTAAGTAAGAGTTGCTTCTATGATGGGGAGGGTTAATATGATATTGAGAGCTAAACTATGACTGATGCAGTTTGAGAGTAGGGACTGAACTGATAGCACAGGATGAAACTGCCGTTTTATCTAGTACTGCTGACTTTATGTTTTCAGTTATCACTGCTGGCATATATGAATTTAAGAAGGTTCTCAAGATAATTTCAATACTTATGTTGGTAGCTGCAGTAATACACTCAGTGGGCTGATTTAAACTGTCACTTTGCTTTGAATAACATGTTCTTTGTTTTCTGGATACATCTGAGAACATAAGGAAGAGGGAATCAAATTGGTGTCTTTTGAATCAGCTGTCTGTGTTGAGGAATTTTTTTTTTCCTATCTATTACTTGTGTACCTTCTGTTTAGAATGAGGAGGGTAGAAAATCTTGTCTTTTTCTGGTCTAAGTATGTGAGAACAGTTTCTTGGCTTGTTTTTCCTAGCCTCAGGGATTCCCATGATGTCTTTTAGCCAAGTAATAACTAGGTCCTGGGTTATAGTTCAGATGAGATTGTGTCTTCAGTCTGTCTGAAGACTGAAGGAAAAGTATTAAATGAAAAATATAATGCAATACACTGTATTTATTCTGAACATGGCTGTATGGAATTTCCTTAGAAGATATACAGAAGTTCAGTGCAAATTTACTTCTCTTGGTCCAGTTCCTACAATTGACTCATGTTTAAAAAAAGAACCTTGCAAGTGTCGTTTATTTTGTTGTCCTGAAATAATATTTAAAGTAGGACTTCCCAGTCATAAGAGCTTAGACCAAAACTGAGGTAAAATGAATTAGTGTTCAAGAAGTGCTTGGAGAATTTAATTGTATTGATGAAATCATGTTTAATAGTGTTATTCCAACAAGACAGACTATAATAAAGCTTCTGGTTTGGAATGTAAAATAAATATTTGCTAGTCATAAGCTTGTTTGACTTTAAGATGTTTGTCTGTATTTCACCATGCCTTCTTCTGAGAGCTCCTGTTTTCTGGCCCTTATATAGAACAGTGGGCTCACTGGTCAACTGCTTCACTTCTTTTCCCTCCTCCGTCCACCTTTAATTTTGCTAATCAGTCAGTGAAGACGTGGATTTTGTTGTTGTTATGCATTCTGTCTAACTCTCTGTCCATTTTGCTTTAGATTGCAAACTTGGCAGAGAGCACTGAAGATTTGGGAGCGAGTGAGAGAGAAACAGCAGGAAGCAAAGGTGGGCAGGAAGGAACACTGAGAGCTGTGACAGTTCCAAACTCTTCTAAAACTGTGTGTTGAAATGGCATTTTTGTAGCCTGTAATATGGCTTATCTCCTCCTTTGGTCTAGGCTTAAAATTTTTGTGAAGACTGGAATGTTTCACTGATCTGGATGAAGCTGTGCCTTGATTTTAAGAGGCCCTATCCTGTGTCCTATGTTGGTGTTAACTGTTTCCTTCTTCTTACATGTGACAGTATGTCACAATAGGGAGCAGAACTGCAAATGTCCTTGTGGAAGTATCTCCTATATGGGCTATGACCCCCGCAAATGCAGTGCTATTCATTTCACTAGTTCAGTGCTGTCATTGAATGCCATATGTATTAAGGGCTTGAAGTATGCTTCAGATATTGATCTTAACAGTCACAGGAACCTTAGCTCCCCTCTTGCAGCTGTGGAGGTAGTCTGTCAGAGCTCAGCTGTGTGGTTTTCTTTAGTGAATCAAGTTGTGAAGCAGCTTCTCCGGTTTTCTTTGTCTTGAATAAGAACCTTCACTTCTGTGACACAGGGGCCTGAAGTTTAAACTGTTTGTTTTCCCTCAGATATGCAGCTGATACAGTACAGGGCCAATCCTCTGCTTTCGTTATTTGAAGACCTACCTTCAAACGAAGCTGCAGGGAAGATGGAGGATCCGAAAGACGTTCTACTGCCCTCCCTGGAGGAGAAGCCTGCTCTTCATCCTCCATCGGGTAGTGGAACTGCCTTGCCGCTAGCAGCTCCAGCAAGCCAGGCTGAGCCTCTGGATACTCTGGGAGTGGGTGATCCACCTCTCCTCTCAGAGGATGGGAATGGAGAGTATAAACTGTTTCCACTCCTGCTCCTCAGTCCCGTTGCTAACTTCATAGAAGAGGCCTCTGAGATAGAAACTTCTTGAATTCACGTGACATCTGTAACTGGCGTAGTGATGTGAAATAGATAACAAAGAAATGCATCAGCAAGAAGTTTGGCCTCTCTCCTCACCTGCTTCCTGGGTGTCATATTCTGTATAGACAAAAGAAAGTTCTCTTTCTGCAAGCAAAGAGCACATCTGGAAAACCTGAAAACAAGCTCAAAGAAGGATCTGGTGGGAGTGAAGGCACTGGGCGGAGGGGAAGAGCAGCATCCCTGTAAACATACCACAGTGTATTCCATAACTTTTTATCTGAATCCTTATTGCAAGAGGAAATCTGTTTGTATCCTCTTTGTAAAGTTTGGCTGGGTGTTTTTGTTGGTTTGGTTTTGGTTTTGTTTTTTAATTAGCTGGATAGTAATGTGGTAAGTAATATTTTAAACATGGGCTTTACTCTTTCTGAGAGCCTGTTTCAATAGGTGGCTTGTCTGCTGTTTGGAATTAAGATTTTTTTTTTAATTTTGTTTTTAATTTGAGATTTCTTTTTTTGATAGCTTGTGGCTACGATTTTTTGCATCTGCTTAGATCACTTTCGTACTCCTAGATTTGCTCCTAGGTACAGGCAACATTTTTCCTATGGAAAATTACATTTTAACTGTGTAATGTTACTTTTTAACATGCTAACACACATCCATTGCCACGGATTGTAGGTGTTGTGGTAGGAAGTGCTTGCCACCCTGCGTAATGCTGATTTCTCATGCACATTGCATGGCAGTACTTCTAGGGTAACTTGCACCTAACTCACTGATCATGTGTCCTCAGAAATTTTGAGTAGAACTGATTCACATCTAGCAAAGTCTAGCAGCTGCCCTTTAAAGTGGGGGGGGGAGGGAGGGGTGGCGATGGGGAAGGAGTCATAGGGTAACTTGTGTTGACATAGGACATTACATTAAGATTTCTCTTCTGCTTGCTGTAGCTACTTGTTTATCTGACCCTACATGAACACTGGATTTCTTGCTGCATTTTCTGCTTGTGGAATCTTAAAGCTAAATTAACTAGATGCATTTGAGTCCTTTGACAGCAAATTACAAAAACTAGTGTCTGCTTAATCAAAAAATCTTTCCCCAAAATTCATTTCTAACTTGTTTGAGCAATTGTAATGTATGCATCAGCCCCTGGTGTGAGCAGAATAACAAGTTCTCCTTCACTGATACCAAGTTTGTAGCAGTCTACACAAGCCCATACAAACTTGAAATTTGCTGTAGCGATACAAATCTGAAAAGTCCTGGAGGCAGGTAGAAAACCCATTGTATAAGATCATGTGATACTTCCTACCAGTGCAATTACTTGAATTTATTTTCAGTTTTAGGAATTCAGGCTACCTACAGGCTTTGTACTCTCTGAAGTTTATGAACTAATAAGTTTTTAGGTTTTTTATATTCAAGAATACAAGGTAATTTGATATTCTGAAGCCTACTAGATAATGCATGTTGTCTATGCTGACGTTACTTAATTGAATCTGTACTTCATTGTCAAATCTTTTGAGTTGCAGAGGAGGATCTTACTACCGAATGTGTGTGTATGTGTAATGCCTTTGCAGTGTCATTTTATTCCCATGCTTCTGTAACTGTTCTTTACCTCGTGACCCTTCATGTTTGTATCTTTTGAATTGCCTTTTGTCAAGTACATCTTATTCTAGCCTTTTCTAGTCTGTCTTATGCTTACTTCTTGAGACAAAGGGCTGAATAGTCTCAAGTTTTCATGAGCTAAAGGGCGAGGAGGGAAAAGTGAATTGCATATCTGTCTTGGGTTCTGGTTTGTTGGGGTTTTTTTTGGTGTTTATTTTTTTTTTTTTTTAATTTCTTCCCAAAGGCCTCAATTTTGCCAGGAGTGAAACAGTAAAAAAACAGACTTGTCTTCTGTGCTTTTTTGACAGCACAGTACAGTCAGCAAAGTTCTTTGAGAGGCTGATCTTCTGTAACTCTCACTTCCTGAACAGGTTAGACTGAAATGTAGTTCCTGTTATGGATTACTGTCATGTTCTTCCATCATGGAGTCCCCTGATCTCAGTGCATCTCACCAACAGATATTTGATCTGATCGCATAATAGTTTTTTAATACTCTTTCTCTCTTAAGAAGTTAAGAAACCAAGGCTTCAGAAAACTGCAAATAAAAATTTGTGCATCTGTGTCTGGTTTATGTACTGGTCTAGGAGAAGTGTTTATTTATGCAGGTTTCCTAAGAAAGATTGCAATGGAAAGGGGAAGGCTGACTAGCAAGAGAAACCCACATACTGAAGTAATTAAACTCAAGAATTGCAAAACCATTACTGTGTTTCTTGTACCTTCTTTTTGTGTGTTCCTGTGTGTTCCAATACTTCCCAAACCTGTTTACTAAATTTTCTAGAAAGGAGAGCTTTGATGCTCTCTGGGGGATTGCATTATGCAGCTTCTGATCATTCAAAAATAACTGAAATGCAAAGGTTAGCCTGGCACCTGTTTTCAGAGCTCTCAGCCTGAGAAGGAAGGAAATTTAGCCTTATTATTAACCCCTATTCAACATGACGTGGAGTCAAAGTTTTTGGGAGTGGGAAAGGGCCCAAATAGCTTTGGGCATTTACTCATTGCCTATAGGTGAGTAGCTTGCTGGGAGCCAGCCTTGAGAAGTGAGAAGACCTGATGCTGTTGTTTCATAGGTGGTGTGAAAGCTCAAAATACTGTGTTGGGCTTGGTGTGGAAAGCTTCCCAGTTGACAACTGAAAGACATGATGGATTGTGTGCTGTAAAATGGCAACTTCAGGAACCTTTTCTACAAACAAGTACTGTAAGGTCACCATCCTGCCCCAAGATCAGCAAAAGAAATGCTACTGCTGTTTCAAAGGAGCAAGTATTCTTGGGTCCTCATATTACTTAGAGGGGCAGAGGTATCCTCTGAGTAATATGAGGTCTATGTAAAGACAAATCAACTGAAGTGAATCCATGGGAAGTGAAAGGGAGAGTAAGATGAAAAACAGGACAAAAATGATTAGGACAGAGTTAATGGAAAACTGGATGCCCTCAGCACTGCCAATGTGTAAGAACCCTTTGTCCCCTCTAATGATCTGGAGCAGTCAATGGGACTCTGTGTGAAAGTCCTGGAGAATGAAATGGCATTAAGCTGGTAAAAGTTCAGAAGTTCCTCTGTTACCTGTTGGAAAAAAGATTAACAAAAGTTTTTCCTTGGTAATTATCTTTCTTCCCAGAGATGGACTATTTTCCTTCACAGAGCATCTAATATACTCGCTCACCTCACACACCCACACCCCACCTACATTTCTCCATCTCCCTCTGTCTTCTCTATAATAAAAAGACAAACTACATTTTGGTTTAAATTAGCACTTGGTATATTTATACATAGACACATACCATCTTCTTCCTTTCCTTTAAAAGGAAGGTGTTAGCACATTAGGATCATATTGTACAGGGTTAACTTAGATTCATTAGACTACAGCTGCTAAGGTTGGTTATCAGACAGGTCTGAATATCCTTCAATACTCATCTATGCCTTTTTTCTTTAATGTTACTTCTATTCTGATTTATAGATCCATTCTGTTACTTATGTGTTTGTTAAAAAAGAAAAGACATTAGTGCAACCAAAAGTTCTATTCTAGAGCCATTGCCTCAGTTTCTCCCCTGTTTCTTCACCAGTGAGGTTCAACCACGATCTGCAATTCTCACTGGGTGTAATCCCACGCAGAGACGGCATGAAATGTTGTCCAGGGTCCCTATTGTTTGCTCACAAGTCATGGTCCCATGTTGCAGGATCCCAGTCTCAGCCATGTTGTACCTGCTGCTGCAACCACAGCTGCCCCTCCCACATGGCACAGCAGCTCTCTGCTCTTTCATCAGTTCTTGTTGCTGGGGTATCCATGTCCGCCCTTCCTGTATCTCAGTCTTTTGTAATTCTCTGTCTGGCTAAAACTTTCCATCACTTTTTGGAAAGCGTACTAGTAACAGCCAGCTACAGTGTAAATTCCACTGGGTTTTTTTTACCACCCTTTCCTTTTCCTTCTGAAAACAAATCAGTATTTCAGCTGGGATACGTCACCCAGATTACTCTTTCCCTGTTTGCCAGTTCACAGGGTGATCACTCAGCCCAAAGACTGCACAAGTACCCCTGGGACTGCGTGTGAGGCCAGCCGGGCACCCACCCTGTCCTTGCCTCACTATCCTTTCCCCAAAAGCCATTTCTCACTGGGGGTCTGCCAGTTACACCAGATGTAGTGCACCAGCACAAATGTTCTTTATAGATTTCAGTAAGAAAGGCCCTCAACTCTGTAAAGTATTGATTAAAACAACATTTACTGAAAGTTATACAAGAAGGAAACAGAGAACATCATAGATAATCTTAGCATCAGACAGACCTCTGATTGGGACATGGCACACTATGTAGAGCCTGTGCCGAGCTTAACTGGCACTGTGGGCTTTATAGGTTTTGTAGGATTTTCCTAGAAGTGAAGAACATTATTCATCATTTCCACCGCCAAGAAAAAGGATGCTTATATGAAAAAGTGCTGCTCCATTTCAAGATAAGGACAAGGACGCGGCAGTGGTGTCATTGCTGGGAGCCACGGACAGACGACTCAGTTACGATAATCCAGCCAAGTGGGACCTGCCCCACAGCACGGCCCGAAGGTGGGACAGGACTGCTAGGCCACTGCAGCTTGATGCGTAACGAGTTTGTGTTACCCGTGACCACGGTTGCTTCACTATAACGCAAGTTTCCTTCCTCCACCAGCATCAACACGCATGGTTGCTGCTTTTACATCTTGATTGTACTAGCCTGTATCTGGGGAAGGAAAGGTTGTTTTTCCTTGATTTTCATGTGATGAGAATTAGCAGAACACACCCAGGCATGGCAAGCACAGAGTGAGAAAGTGAAAAGTGCCTCTCATATACTCGTTTTATAATTATTTTTCATGGTGTTCCAGACTAGCCCTCCCCACACAGACCATGTCAGTCTAGCCATCAATTTTTTATCTCATATTTCTGCGTGCTTGCAAACACAGAACTCAGACCTTTCCAGAATATGAGAAAAAAATATTTTATCTGTGTCTCCTGGTCTGTATGATGCCACCTCATCCAGTCCATGATCAAAATATTTTCCTGTCTCCTAAAACAAGATTGCCATTTTTAAAAGTAGTATTCATGCTATCATAGTTCCCCCAAGCACAAGCAAGAGGTTGCCACCAAAGGTCATCTTAGTGTACAGAGGTCTGTACTTGCATCATATAAAGGACAAGAGATTTCTCCTGCCACTGTCCCCCCAAACCAAAAAGGTAAATATAAATATATAAATATATACACAGCTTTTTTTTAATCAGCAGTTTGAGTTTTAGCTTCCTGGTCAATACATACCTTGCTAGTGGTAGGTTCCATTATGACTCAGTCTGAGTCAATTTAGGCTTCTGCCCTTCTGTCCAGCCAGCCACACCCTCCAGAGGAAGGAGTTTAATTAATTTGAACTTAACATGTTCTTTTCTCTTCCTTTTTTGAACCAAGAAGTATGTGAACACTGCAACCCACACAAGCTTTTCCTGCTTCTCCCCATCCCAGTGACTGCAGATTGGAGTTGCATCTCATGGAAAATTTCTGATGGAGGAATACAGGGCTACAGGGGAGGAGCATGTGAAATCAAGTCCCAAGATCTCTTGAATGTCTGTTGAACCTTTTCCTCAGCTTTATCGAGTAGGATATCTTCAGAAGCATTTAGACCTTAAGCTGGTTAGATGTCCTCTTTAATTACAGATATAACTGCAAATATAGTAGATGGTAAGAAATTAATTGAACAGATGATTCTTTAGGTCGTGACTGATAAAAAAACACAAGGATATAAAGATTTTCTAAACAAACAAAGGCATGAAAATTGTGAGTGGTAAAATCACCAGCTTCAGGGAAACAGAGATCAGAGTGTTATAACCTGACAAGAACCAAATTCAAACTCATATCAATAAAATTGTCATAATTAGATCAATATTAATAACAAGTAGTAAAAAAAAAAATCACACTTCTATATGCTTATATGTTTTTAAGTACCACTGTTTTGCAGAATGAACTATCAATTACTCTAATGTAAGAATATATGTAAAAGCAAACAATCTCAATGAAAGCAAGGACCTCAAAAGAAAAGGAGCCAGATAATACTAGAGCTCCCAGGGCTGGATATACAAATCTCCTAGTTTTAATGTTAAATTACATAACAACCTAACAAAGCCTCCTACAAATGACAATGTAGGTGGAGCCATCTCTAAGCCATATATAAGAGTACAAGAAATAGTTTTTCCCCATGTTGCCACTACTTCAGAATCAGGTATGCAGCACTGGTTGCTCTGGCATCTGTATTGTGCTTCTACAAATGCAAATATTGTCTCGCTGTCATTAAAGGAGGGTTGTGCTTTAGAAAATGGTCCAGAATTTTGTTGACTCTATTTAATTATTCAGGTTACTTGCATTTGAGGACCAGATATTGAATTTGGATGTAACAATAGCAAAGTGTTCATATCTATTTAGCTGAATACAATAAAGCAGAAGAGACTTCTGTCAATAGAGCATAAGAAAAATTAAATGCTGCAGAAGACATAAAGGGGCATGTAAAATCTCTTGAAGACAATGTTTCAGTAGAGAACAGATACTTCTCCTAGACAGGCCTAGTGCTCAATTACTTAATAATACAGATTAACTATAACTAATATTACCTTTAATTAATAATAACACACCTCATTATAGTTAAGGAGTCATGATTTCATTGTCTCAAAGATTTTCTACTTCAGTAAGCTCCTTTTTTTTCTCTCTCTATGTATAATTGTTTACCTCTTTCCAAAGTAGTCTACAGGGAAATGCAGGTGCATGTGGCCTTAATCCATGTTTTTAATTGAATGTAATTAATCAATTCAACCAAGCAGCTAAATTGCCATGTTAGAAAGGAGGATCAATCTGTGACAGAGACGGTTAAACCAGGTGCCTGCAGCTCTTGGGGATTACTTGTTGTCAGATTTGTATACCTAAATTCCCCACTTTTTAAATGGGATACAGTGATATAGAATAGAATATTTTGGTTGGAAGGGACCTAAAACGATCATGTCTCACACTGGTAATGTAAAGACTGTGGGTGTTTCATGAATCTTAATTTAAAATGCAGTGGTGAGTTTCACAGAAAAGCTGGGAAGAAAATTAGTAGTAAGGACCTTGGCTGTTCAGCTCCTTAAGAGTACTCTCTCAGACCTTCTTGTATGTAACATGCACGTTAAAACTTATTTAGAAAGAAATGCAAGGAGGAAAAGAGGAAGAACAGGTGCTTAGGAGGAAAAAAAAAAAAAAGAAATATTTTCTTAAAAGTGGAATTAAAAATACAGAAGGGGGGAAAAAGCATATTCAGCAGGAAATATGAAATAGAGTAGAAGTAATTCTTAAACTTTCCTCTTTTCACCCTCCCTTAGAACTTTTTTTCTGCCCACACCTCTGACGGTCATCACTGAGACACTTTTTTTTTCCTGAAAAAGAGGAAGGAAAAACCATCAGCAGCTGTCCTGGGTTCTCGATGACAAAGTGAGCTAAGAAAGGAAGTGTTCCTGATTTACCCCTTGACTTCAAGAGAAGAAGCCTGCCCTATGTGAAAGGGAGAAGCTGCAGCCCTGGGAAGGATGGGAATGCTGGTGAGAGCAGTCGTGCTTATGAGTCCTCTTCTCTTCTGCAGTGGTGAGTCTATGAAAAGGTCTTCTGCCCAGGGCAGTTACTTCCCTGGCACTGATGTATCTACACATGTTTGTACAGGGGTGGTTCTGTTTCAGGAATATAAATATGGAAAAAAGTCAATGTCTTTCCATGCTTCTGGCTCGGTGTTCAGTTGTTTCAAATGCAGTGGCTGCGGAGTGCAACAATGCGTGAAGACTATGGAAACGCTGCCCACGTACTTAGAGTACAGAGATCCCATATACATTGTGATGGTTAATTCACAGAGCACAGGCAGCAGCCCAGCATGAAATGTCTGATTAGTTCTTGTGTTTCCATGAAAGGTGAGGTTTGGAAACTGGCAGAAAAGGATAAAGAAATGTCTATGGAAGAATAGGTCCAGCCCTAAAAGTGACAAAAATGTATAGGGACAAAGGCAAAAGACCTAATTTTTATAGGAAAATGTAAAGAGTTTTAGACTTTGATCCATTGCTTAAGTTGTTTAAATGCAACTTAGTCTGAAAAAGCAGAGTCTTTCAGGAGAACAGACAGTGGAAGAAAAAAATCCTGTACACTGTGGTTTGCTGTTAATGCGTGGTGCTTCCGAGGAAAGCCCTGAGAGTGATGTTGGGTGGCGGGGGCAGACACCAGCTGTGACTGGGGAGCTGTGCAACTCAGGCTTGAGACAAACTCTTTGTCTCAGGTCTAAGTCATCTGCTAATTCTGACCCTGTGTTCTGCCTGGTGTTCACTTGCTTGAAGGTAAGCACCAGGTAGAGCACGAGAGCCTAACTGCACACGTGGCACAGGTCAGTGCCCCTGGCAATCAGCTGTCTACTATCTCTCTTCCTCATGGCACATTCCTTTTTTGTTACCCCATGCCTGAATAGACCATGCCTCACCATCTGCACTGATGACCCATGATTTTGATTTGGTGGATTCCACTTGCTGATGCTCTCACCACCCCTTCAGCACCCAGCAGCTGCCTTCACCGTGATTGTTTCAGGTTTTGGTTTGGTTTGTTGTTTTGTTTTTTTTTTTAATTTTCTTTCTCTGTTCTTCCTGAAGCTTTTCTGGACCTGACTGGCCCCAATGAGATCAAAGGTGTATGGAAGGAGTCTGTCATCTTGCCGTGTGCCTACATGCCTGTGAAGGATTTTGTGCAGCAAACACTCACATGGACTGTTGTACATGACCAGAGCTCTGGCACCATTTTTCGGAGGGATGCCTCTGGTGACCACGTTCTCCTGTCAGAGTACAGGGGCAGAGTCAGCGTCCTGAAGGACACCCCAGGGAATGTGTCTCTCCACATGCTGAACTTGGAGGTCTCTGACAGGGGAACCTATGCTTGCCAGGTCACTTGGAGAGCCAACAACAACAGCCTGGTAACAAAAAGCATCACCACTAAAATGGAGGTTGTTAAAGGTAAGCCCAAGAAGGAAGCTGTGCAGGAGTGGAAGGCTTGGCTCAGGAAGGCTTTTAGGAATTGAATAGACCAGGTAGGCAGTGACCATCCGCTCCCAAATCAGGAGCATTTTGCTGAGTGGTGTCTGACTCTGGTCAGAAGCAGCAAATAGGTCAGAGAGGAATTTTGCCCACGATACTGAGCCCTGTGGTTTGGGGGCTGAGGATTTGTGGCCTCCCACTTACCTATTTGTCCCTGACTCTACCTTTATCTAATGGCTCAAAGTTTTCAAGGGACATGCACCAGAGGAGAAGTCCCTAGGATATTGCATTGCTTTTTTCTGACCAAACATCAACAGCATGGCTGATGCCTGATTATCAGCAAGGCCTGATCTCCCTTTGCCTGGGCACTGGTGACTTACAGAAGAATGTAGAAGGCATTAACACAGCAGAGAAGGTCTTTGTGTAGGAGGTGCAATGGGTGGCATAGATGGTACAGGCACAGCTAAGCCAAGTTTAACCTGTGCAGAGAGGTGATGTGAAAGCAGTGCCCCTCTTCCTCCTGGGAAAGCACTGAAAGCCAGAGCAAGAGCTGCCATGGAGGAAGGCAGGAACCTTCCTCACCGCAACCAGGGCCAGCGTGACCTGGGCCCCATCTGCTTTGTCTTCCAGTTGCAGTGACCAAGCCCATCATCAGGGCCAGCGAGCTGGGGCTGACTTTCCTGCCAGGAGCCAGGACCAGCCTGACCTGCGTGGCCAGCGGGTCCCCTCCCATCAGCTACCGCTGGTTCAGAGGTGCCCCGGGAGGGGAAGCCCTGCTCCTGAGCAGCCAGGCCGAGCTGGCGTGGGACAGCCTGCAGCCCTCCGACACCGGGAAGTACTACTGCGAGGCAGAAAACAGGGTTGGGGACAGGGCTGCACAGCAGAGCGATGTCGTTGAGCTGACGGTGAGAGGTGAGTCCCCAGAACCACGGCTGGAGGGAAAACATCTAGAGTCCTTCCATACTGGAATGGAACAACCTTCATACTTTCTTTCCCTGAAAGAAGAAAACACAAAAAGCCTTGGCATTCTGCACTCTGAAGCATTTCTCATTACTGGTTCTGGCTTTCTATCCATTTTTATTTCCTGTATTCAATTTCTCTCCTCCTCTTTAGAGGAACTAATCTTTTCTGATGCAGAAGAGGGTTTGTATTTAAAACACATTTATTCCTTTTTGGCTTTTTAAAAATTCTCGCTGGCTATGTAATGCTGCCTATTGCTGTTTAGCAAGTTTAGACAAGGAATCCGTACTTCATTTTGGATTATGAGGAACATATGAGAGGTAATTCAGTAGGTGAAAAAAATCAAACTGGTCTTTGTTCCTTATGCTTGGCTACGTGTTTCAGGAAAACACACTGCACTTTATGCACACTCTGTGCTCTGATGTATCCAGGCTCTTTGAGACAGTGCATGATGAATGCCTCATGGAAGAATTGCTACTTTCCTTGGCTGGTAACTTGGTCATCAGAGCCATGAAGCCTGTGATCGCAGAGCCAAGCCCAGGTACCACACAGTGACTTTTGAAAGAGTCAAAGCTCCCAGTGGAATGAAGGTTATGATTGAAACAACGTGTTGGTTTTCATAGCAGTTGCACATAGGAGCATACAGCAGGGGAACAGGAATTAATGATGGCCGTGCTTGTTAATGCTGCTAGCACACAGTCCCCAACTCATCTTCTGGAGAGTGGCTGGTTCCTTGTGGTCTTATCACCAGTGGAGAAGTTCTGCATTGCAGCAGCATCACAAACGTGGTCAAGCTCCTGTGTCAGCCTCTCTCGTTCACCTTGCAGATCTGCCCACAACAACAGTGGCCTCTCAGAGGGATGTGGGAACCTCGAGGAGACACCACCCAACCACAGGTCAGGGTAACAGCAGTTGTGGCTGACAGCAAGGACGAGGAGTCAGGGGGAGGGTTTGACACCAGGGCTTAGCAGTGGGTTTTGTTGCTGGGGAATACAATCTTGACAATATTGTATTTTAGTCCATAAACCTCTGTTTTTGATCCAGATGTTTCTGAATGTAGAACATCCCCCTTTCCTCAATCTCCAGTCCACAGAAGTCTTTTAGCTTGCTCTTAGGGATGTTGTGTCTCTGTATGAGAGGTTCTGTATGTGTCAGGAAATTGTATTTCTAAAAGCCCTAACTTGTAGACCTTATAGGATGTTCTGGGTTCTGTTCTTTTTTAAAGGGCTTTTTTCTTGTTTTATGATCTTGAAGCAAAGCTGCTGAAGTGGGAGGCAGAGCTAATATCTCTAGTGGTAGATACAAGTGATGCAAAAACTGCTTCAGACCTGACTGGAATCAGTCTACCTTACCAAGGACAGTTGTATTGAGGGAGGACTTGTGATTTCCAGTTTGTTTTTGTGGGATGAGGGAATTCAGACCTGGGCTAGAGTAGGTCTGCTTGTTGAAACTTTAGTATTTTTCGGTTATGTTTCATTTGAATTTATAGTGCCCCACCAATCACACAGCAGATTGTGGGAATCGGCACCAGTGACCAGAAGCTAAGGGAAGATGTTGACTATTATTGACTATTATTCTTATAGAAAAAACCCAAACAGAGCCGGTGTTCAGAAGTACCTCAGTAAGCTCTTGGACTCCACGGGGCTCCACCACTACTACAGGTGAGTGGAGGTGTGTGTATAGACACACATATATATAGTTTGTGTGTACGTAGGATATATAGTGTATATATACTATATATAGTTTCTATCTAGTGTATATATATAGTAATATATATATTCTCTCTATATTATAGTGTATATATAGTATACACTTCTAAAGCTTGCCTATTTTTGCTGCCTTGTAAAGGTGATGGAGACATTCTCTTTTGACGCTACAGCTATAACCTGGATTTTCTGGTGCTAAAATGAGGATTGGAAATGCACTCTCTCAGCCTTTCACTCCTGGTTGTTTTGCAGATCTGCCCATAACAGTAGTGACTTCTGACAATGGTGTGGGATATCCAGAAAAGAATTATACAACTCAGAGTAAGTGGAGAGCAAAACAAAGCTAAGAATAGGGTAGTAGTCAGTACCTTCAGCCTCAGGATTACTGTTCTGCCTTTTGGCTGCAAACTGTACTAATGGATGTTCTCGAGGGACTTAGATGATTCATGGTGACTCTTTTAAAGACTCTGGATGTTTTTATGGTGAAAAAAAGCTTTCACTGTTGCAGCATGCAGTTATTGCAGTGTTCCCAGACAGCAGTCCATTTTGATATTTGAGTGTCAAAACTGGAAGAACAGAAAACCTGTGTGAAATTCAAGCAGATCTGCTATACCTCCTCTAACTTTGCAGTGCTGTGGTAGGTTTAAACATGTTCCAAATGCAAATGAAGAGCATCCTTGACCAAAAAGCTGAGGCCCTCTACTTCATGACATGTAGTACAACTATCCTGCTCAGCTCACAGCCTCAGTTAGCCCCAGAATTAAGAGACTCTGCCAGCTGTCTTTATGGCTGCGGTCTCTCGGGGAGATGTACGCACAGTAAGTCTGCCCAGCTCACACAACTGCACCTCTTCAGAGCCATGTGAGCAAGGTGCTGTTAGGATGAGGATGAGCAAGGACAAGCACATGCACTACAGCCCTGTGTGCCCACAACAGGGATGGCTGCTCTTGTCCTTAGGGAAGTGGTCAGCATCATCTAACTGCTACTGTGACCCGGGAGGGCTCCTCTGTTTGAAAGTCATCTGCTGTATTGTTCTAGATTTTCAGAGGACTCACCTGTCCCTGTACCTGGTCATCCTGATTGCTGTGGTTTGCGGTGCTGTGGTTTTCCTTGTCATCTTCCTTATTATTTGCATTAGAAAGCCCAAAGATGGTGAGTAGAATGTTCTGGAAAACTTGAATGTGTTGTGTGAGCCCAGCTTGGTTTCACCTGTAAGGGTTTTGGGGGCTGGGGCTGGTACTGCGCTCGCAGCTACAGGTAGCAGCAGCTCTGGCATTGTACAGGCAGTCGATCAAAATGTTCATGGGTCAAAATAGGTGGTAAAAGATCTAAAGAGGCAGAGAAGCCCCTTTTCCTCAGGAAAGACCTGTTGCAGCAGTCAGGGAGGCTCTGCCAGGCACCGACCAGGGAGGATGCCCCACGGGCAGCAATAACCCACTGCTGCCAAGCCACTCTCTGGGCCAGCACAGTGCCGAAGCAGCCCCTGCAGCCCCCATCCCCGTGCCAGTCCCTGGGGATCCCAGTCTCTGCCCACCCGAGGCCTGCCCACGGTGCTCAGCTCCCCTGCCATGGCATTCCTTAGGGACAGACATCCCGTGGCTCCCAAACTTACCTGCTTGATCGAGTTTGTTGATCAGAACTTTCTGGCAGCAAGTTTATCTTGCCTTGCTACTTTAAAATACCTGTTTGCATCAGCTGCTGTTTAATATTTCCCTTAGTTTTGTACCTGGAGGAAAAAAGGTCATCAGTTCTCCCTATTCAACACAGATTCATTTCCTTTCTAGTCTTCACATGTAGCATATATTTACTGAATGCTTCTGTCTTTCCTGCCCTAATACTAGAAAACCCCTGATCAAATCCTTTATTAGAGTCCCCTTTCCTACTAATAGCACTCTGCAGTGTACAGAGAACACACTGGGGTTTTGTTTGGGGGTTTTTAAATACTGATGGCCATAGTTTTCTCCTTGTCCCTTTGTTTCTTTAATTACCTTTCTACAACTCTGTACCATTAATTAATAATAATTATTACCAAATACTCATTTTGCCTTTTCTCCCTTTTTTTTTCCCTAAAGGAATGCAGAATAACCTCTTTTTAAATTGTTCTTTAAACTTCTAATGAATAGGAAAATTGTGGGAACTGGGAACGTCTAGTTTCTAAACTCAACTTTACCTTTGACCTTGGGCCAGTTATTTTAACCTCGTTGTGCTACAGCTGGGATATGAGGTTTTTTTCATCATCTTGGACTGAATCCTGGGAATAGGAGTCATCACCCACCTAACGTGATCTCTAGGGTTCCTATTTTTATTCTGCCTTCAGAGGCTGCTTTCTCATATTAAGAAGAGACATAGTAGAAATTATTTTTTGAGAATATACGTGCAAATTATTGACACACATTTCTGATTATTTTTTTCCAGCTCAAGTCTATGAAGTAAAATCGTGAGTATAACCCTTCAACATTTTGATGAGTCTTTGGGGGACTGTGTCAGAGCAGGAAAAAAAAAAAAAACAAAACAGCATTACTTAGTTGTCAAGATGAAAAGCCTCTTAAGCAGCATGGATGAAGAGGTTCAAAGTTAACTCAGTAGTACCCTGTACTGATGATCTGTGGGCTTTCCACATCAACACTTACTGTAGGAAGAAAGTTCTTTCTAAACTCAGGTTTCAGCATCCTGATCTACTTGTAATCTATGGAAGGTGTACTGAAAAGACTAATAAACCAGTCAAAATATATAAAGAGAACCACTTATCTAGATATAAATTAAAGCGCTGATGACTTGAGTGCCTTGGTAGAACATACCAGAAGCATTTGCCTAGGTGCTGTGCTTCCCAAGCAGTTTATAAAGCAGCACTTCAAGTGACAGCTGAACCCTGAGCAACTAAATAAATGGTGTGATGGCATTTCTCCTCAGAGGATTTACCTTTGTTTTAAAGGTATCAGATATCATAAGCCACATAGTGGACATAGATTGCCTTCAGTTCCCCATTTACCACTCCTCCACCACTTTTTTTAATACATATATTTTTTTCTTGCAAAGAGCAGTTGTGTGGTTGTGCCATTCTAAGAAATGGTTGTAATCCTTGTGTTGCTTTACATAAATTTTGCTGCCTCTGAAACTCTCCCTGGGTTGGGGGCGATGCTGTTATAATGTCCAAGGTTCTCCTGCCAACTGGAAGCAAAGGAGAAGATTCTCTCCTTCAGAATACTGTCATAATCCAATGGCCCAGGTTTACACAGGTTTGAATCAGAGCACAATCTTGCTCAAAGTCTTGATGGTTGGGAGATGTTTTGTCTAGTCTGACTGCAACTCTTCTTTCATATTGAATTTTATTTCAGCCATAACTCAAGAGCAGCAGCTTCTTCAACATGTGCAAGTACAGGTCATTATGAGGAGCCCATCTCATTGACTGAAAACACCTATGTGATGGAGTCCATGAAAAACAAAAGATCTGAAGAAATAAACGGGAAAAATAATGAATATGAATGTGTTGGAAACACCCAGGAATCTGAATATGAAGTAGGGGACATTGTATGAGAACCAACAGTACTCTACAAATAGAAGTCCTGAAGAGTACCTTCAGGCAAAATTTATCTTCCTACTTACCTTTGCCTCTGAAAAAATAGGTTGGACAAGCAGTTTTTGGTCCTCTGAAATTTGTAGAGCCTTAATAATCTGCAGTGAAAATGCAAACCTCTGTATGAACTCCAGTTACAGTTTGCTGCATAGATCTGGATTTGCTTTTCTTGGTTCCTTCTCACCACCTCTGTAGAAGAAAGCCCTTTGAAAGCCAGGGTATGCAGATCCCAGGTGAAGAGCACTGTACTAAGCTTACTGCTTTATATATCCACAGACTTTGTGTGGTGGGAGTAGAACCAGCACCAAGGGCTGCTCAACACCCCCATCATCTTTGGGCAAGAAGCGCAGTGTTTCTCCTCCCATCCACCTGAAGTGCTGCATAGGTGGTAGAATGTCCTTTCAAATGTGAGATAGCCCATAAAGGAACACTGAAAGACAGATTAAAGCTGGGATGAAACCAAGAACCTTACCACACTAGCAGGACAAAAAGAAGAAATGTCCCGTGCACCCATCGTGCTGTACTCAGTATGCCTTTCTGCAACACTCGCAATATGATGCAGACACGTTTTATAGTTTTGGTGCTGGACAGCTTGGGAGATTCTGATGCTACAGCAGGGCACATTCTTTCTGAGTTCACCTTCTCTATTGTCTCTTTTCACACATTTGATATTTGAAAGAAATGAGATACTTTTCCATAAGTTTCTGGATAGGATTGTTCACACATGCCTAAATTATTTTGATATTAATATCTTTGCATAACCAACTAATTTTTAAAATGCTAGCAAGCACTCACAATTACAGCTCCTCAATACTTTCCTCATAGCTTAGAAGGCCTGAAAGGTAAGTAGGGAGATGAAAAGCTTTGCCATTCATAATTTCTACTACCCTGAGTAAATCTATAACATGGATACTGCAGAGTTATGGAAGAACTTTTTTATAATGAACGATAGGGCAATACTGTGTCTGCTTAAGAGCCATGTGAACAGATGTAAAACAAAACAAGCAATCTGAGGGGTGAGGGGGATATCAGTGGCACAGATACAGGATTAGTGGTGCCCCCCCCCCCCCCCCCCCCAAGATTTGCTGTTCACACTCAGGAAAGATCTGCACCTGCATCTCTCTGCAAGCATCAACTCAAAACTTACAAACTTACCAGCATTCAAAAAGAGTATTAGGTGTTATTAGGAAAGTCATTACACTGCACTAGCAAACAGGATTGTGATACTATAAAAACCCATGGAATGCTTCCACCTTATGTATGCGTGTAGGTCTCCTCTTGGAAGGGTTTAACAGGGCTGGAAATGTTACTGAGAATAATAATAAAGGATGATTAGTGGCATGAAAGCACTTCTGTGCAAATGCATTATACTTTCTCAGCTTGGAAAAAAAGAGAAGAACAAGGCAAAAGGAGCACAGTGTGTTCATCACGACCAGTGTGGAGAAGATTAATAGACACTATTTGTTTATAAATTTTCTGAAAAGGAAGCAAATGTTAGCTAAAATTATCTGGTAGAACTTTTAAAGGGAGAGGAAAAGTACTTCTTTTATGCAATATAGAAATAACTGTGGAATGCAATACTACTCATCCAGTGCTATAAAAACGCAAAGTACACAGAGGTCCAATGAGAAATTAGAGGAATTAATGATACAAAAGTTTATCAAAACCACCAGGCACACTTTACTACATAAGGTACTTATTAGTGACTTTGTAGTTTCTCCCTGAATTTCCTGTACCACTAGTTTTATTTCTCTTTTTTTAAGAAGATACTTAAAAATCAAGGGCTGGGAAACCTTGATTTCAAAATGGAAAGGGAACAAACGGCAGCTTTTGTTGGTGATGAGGTCTTGGAAAAAATTGTCAACATGTACATGCAGCTTATTGCAAATGTGGAGCAGCAAATGAACATCATTAAACTGAAAGACTGCAAAGTTAGTAGATTTTGTTATACTTCTTTTTATTTTCCCTATAAAATGGGTGTGTATGAATGTCTGTGTGTGCCCAGGAATTACACTCTTAGGAACATATTATGTCCCTTCACCTGAAAGCAGAGAAATTATTGTGAATCTGATAGAGTTTGGGGTATATTTTGGGTGTTGTGTCAGTTGCTGTTTGTAGGTTGTAGTCAGCCACAGTATAGGGAACATAAGATGCAAGAGTTGTTGCTAGTCCAATTTGAGGTTCAAAGCTAATGAAATTAGACATTTAGGGTGTGAAAGAAAATTAGTTCTATTACGAAGAGTGTAAAAATCCAGTGAAGTCTGACAGTCTTTTTTCCTAAGCAGGAAGGTGAGTGGGGGAGGAAAACTGTTTCAATATTATTGCAAGGCACACTTATCACCTAAAGGTTTTTTTACAGAACAACAGAAAAATCATGACTGGATAGTGTGTTAATGTGATAACAAATCAACAGTGTTGACATTTTCTGGGAAACTGTCATGTTTTCTTAATCTTTCCATTCTAGATGAGGTTGCAGTTTTTTAAGTCTGCAGTAATGTTCTCATTCTTTAAAAAGGGGTTTTAAAAAGTGTGTGTGTGTGAACAGAATGTCACTGTTACTGGAAAGCAGCCCACCTGTCTGAACTCCATCCAAGAAACAAAGTTACTGCAATGGGAATATGGGGATTCAGTGCTACATGGAGCAACTGGAAAGCAGAGGTACACCAAAGTCAAACGACAGGGTGAATATCTGAACAAAGAGGTGGACATGAAATATGTTGCTTGGAGAATGAGGAGAAAAGAACTTGTCCTTTCTGTAAGTGGTGTGATGGGTACAGTCATCCGGATCAGTAGACTTGACTCTTTGGGAGACAGCTGAGCTCTGTATGAACAAAAGAATGGCAGCACGGACAGCACCACAAGCTCTTCGCTCCCTGCTTGTATTTCCACCACTGCTAGTCTTGACCTAGCTGGGAAAGAGCCTCTGAGCTGTGCTAGGATGGGACAGTTATTTTAAACAATGTCACCTCACCTGTCAGGTCTTGGCAGTTAGCTTGCTTTCCCTTCTCCTTTCATCTTTGTTTTCAGAAAGAAAGTGTGGATTTTGCACTAGATGATGAAGTGTTCCTAAAGGTTCTGCAAAAGTTGATGTGTCATCAGTTGGGCAGAGAGACCCAGTGTGTCAGTAAGCACACTGGGTTTGCAACGTGTGTTTTCTCAGGTGGGACTGTGGTAATGCTCGATACACTCAGAGTACCTCAACATGCCTGCCACAGCTACTGAAATGGGGACTCGGTTCTGGCTGCCCAGGATGACTCACAGCACCGTTCATTTGAGGTGGTGTGATGTGGCCAGAGCTCCAGCCCAAGAAGAGACCACTAAGGCAAGATAGAGGTATGGAGACAAAGGGCTTTGCAAGGATGGGCAGGCTGGTCACAACGCGGTCTGAGCATATCAGGTGCTCCCACTGCTATGGATGACGGCTGTCAGGTATCCCACAGCTGTGCCACAAAAATAAAAAAACAATTAAATTCCACTTGCATTGCAAAGCTACAGGTGATGTAGCTGTACAGATATGGATAAATAGCGGATTCGTACTGGCTGGACAACCATGGCCTGGAGTTGGTGATGTTAAATAAAACCATTTTAAGGCAAGCAGTAAAAGGCAAGCTCATAAAACTTGAAAGAAATCCATGAATTAGGTTCTCTGTGTGTTTTGTGTCTGCATGCACTGTTGGACAGCTGGATAATGCAAGACAGGGATTGCATCCTAATTCAGTGTGGGATATCTCTGGGCAAAAGGGCAGTTGTACATCTTCTGCAGCACATCGATGGCATACAGCGGCATGCCAGGAAGGCACGCTGAGGTTAAAGCAGATCTTCCTAGACCAGCACTTGTGTTTAGTAAACCAGAGCTCAACCAGCCTTTGTGGAGCCACTAAAGGAGGAACTGGGAAGCTTGCAAGGAGCAAGCACTGTGGTAGCAGCAAGGCTACCAAAAGCATCAGTAACTAATGAATGTGATAACTGCATGTAAAGGTAAAATCTGTATTGCTCTAATAGCTGAATTTATGAAACCCATCTGTGGCACCAAGAATGTCTCAAGTCTCACAGTAAAAATTGCCTTTTTTTCTGAATGCAAATGGTTCAAAAAGAGCACTTTGAGACCTTCATTCTTCAGTTACCTAGTTTTTGTGGGTTTGCTCAAAGCTTGGTACTGAATTTCACACCCTTTCAGGCTAAAAATTTTGTTTCATCACCAGAAAAATTGTAGTAAACTTCTCTAGCCTCTGGCAGACTATGTCAAAATATGAATGTAAGATGCAGGCTCTGCAGAGCTGGTCCCTATGAGTAGGGTCTGAGGTCCCATCTGCACTCATTTTCAGGGAAACGGGGACTTTACTGCGCCACGTCTAGTTAGCCTGAGATCTGGTAGCAGAGATTGCAGAACAAAGAGTTATTACTGGTCACTTTGTCTGAGCTGTGATACCTGAAAAAATGATGCTTGAAAGTGTGTTATGTCCAGTATGTGGAAGGAAGGTGGGTGCCTGCGGGGGGAAAAGGCTGCAGGGTGCCTTACCCGCCTGGCACTGCAATGGAGAAAGCAATGGATTCGATCCAAAGCAGAGACACAAATAAATATGGTTCATTATGATAAACTAGGTAACTATCCATAATGTCTGAGACATTAAAAGCTTTTTCTTCCTGTGTTCAGATGCAAAACTATGAGTTCCTCTGGTAAGAAAGAAATGGGCTATGTGACTCAGGGAGGAGAAAACTTGCAGCTACATCTCTGTCCCAGGGAGAGAAAGATGTCATGTACATCACATTTGAGGAACTACAGTTCTTCATGTTTATTTTAGCTAAATAGTCATTTTTTTATCCTGTATAATTACAGCTTCAGGAAGTCTTGCACGTCCGGTTCAAAAAGTTGTTGTATCAGCAGTTTTAGCTTGGGTTTTCAGCTTGTTCTGGGGCATGTTCCCCAAAATCCAGCTTCTTACAAAGTGTCTTGTGTAGGAGATAGTTTATTGGGACAAGTTTCTGTTGTCAGTCATGGGCCAGGGTGTGCAAAAGGTTGGCTTTAAATCAACTCTCTGAAAATGGGCTCATACTCATTCTTCCCATGACATTGCTTGAATTTTAATGAGTACTTTTTTGTTTGTTTGCTTATTTGCTTTTAGGCAGGATTCAAACATAGCTAATGGTTTCTTTGTGGCAGAGTGGGCAGAGGGAGTACAGGCAGTGTGAGCTGGTACCACTCTAGTAGCTTCAGATAAAAAGTGAAGAAGAAAAGGCAGCAAAAATCAAGTTTCCACCACGCCAGCAAGCATATGCTCTGCAAGAATGGGTGGTGCTGCTGCCTCTCTGGTCTTCCTCAGCACGATGACAGCTGCAGTAGCTCTTAGCCCAGAACCTCACATGAATTTGTTGCACCAGGTCTTGCCACACCACATTCAGCTTTTTTGCTCCAGGCTGCCCGTGATTGCTACAGGCAAGTTTTACTGCAGCAATAAGCAGAGCGCAGCTGAAATCACCTTCAGCAAACCACCCAAGTGTGGACAGGCCTCCACCTGAAGACTGAAATGAGACCTGCATAGTTCTCATCAGTTTACTCACTTCAGGAAAATGAAGAGAGTCTCCAGTTTTCATTGCCCTGCATAGAGAGGGATCATTGACAAATGGCAGCACTTCCAGAGAACGGTCTGGGCTCAGCTGCAAGGTAAACACTTAAGCTAAAGCAAATAGATATCTGTCATGATGGGACGTAGGGGTGGCAAAACTACACCAATCACCTTTCCCTCCCAGCTCCAACTGAAAATGGCTCCCTGTATTTCAGGCACACCTGCCTCCTGCTCAAAGATACTATTCTCCTGGTGCGGTTGTTAAAACTATATTCTAAATCATGTCTATTGAATAAATGCCAAGAAGTTGTTTTAGTGAATGATTAAAAGCCTTTAACAGAATTCACTAGGTTAGTAGATTTGCTTTTATACATGTTTCCTATCTTCTGTAATTCCATCTCCTTTTGGTAATAATTAGCAGGTGCATATTAATTCTGTGCATAACACTTGTTGATAACTTTTGGATGTACTTTTAAAGGTACCCTTACAGAGCACACCCAGAATGTCTCCTGGATTAAAGTCCCTCTATCGTCAGTCGTGTCACCTCCCTAGAAAACACCCTGTGTGCTTGAAGAGCATGAAACATGATGACTTTTGCCCATGAACAGCAGAAATTCGTACCAAGATAGTCTGTGATGCTGTGAAAATGAGAGCAGCAGGCAGTGGCCATCTGATCACCAGTAGATGGTAAAAGTTTGTGTAATGTAAATGCAGATTACTCTAGCTTGTTAAACTTTAATTTCCCCATGCACCTTCTCCATGGCCCTGGTAGGTATACCTGCATCTGTAGCTGCACTGCAGTAGGACATAATTTCTGGGCAGATGGTAGAACATGGAGTTTTGGCAGGAAAATTCCTATCATAGTAAAGAGCAGAATGCTGTGTTGGTTTTTTTATTATTATCTCTTCTCTGCACATTTTCCGTTCAAACAGAAAAAAGCAGTAAAAATGGCATCCTAAGTTTTCTGATCTAAAAGGCTCAGACTGTTTGGGAAAAAAATTAGGGCTGGTTGTCTTCCTTACTCAGGTCACAGACTGACCTACTCAGTAGATGAACAGGGTTGCCTGCAGAGTCTCTTGCTGCAGAAGCTGATACAGGTGTGTGGTGAAAGAGCAAAGTACCATCAGCAGGAGAAGACACTAAGGAAATGGAATTGAGCATCAACAAGTCAGTCTCTGCCTCATGCTCTTGTATGGTGTTAAGTGAGTCAGTGCACTCAGACCTGTGCTTTTCCATTTCTGGGTGTCCAGTTTTGAGCCCTCATGGTACAATGGAGAGAGATGATGAGAGCTCTACTGAGCAATGTCATCACACATAAGTCAGAGGGAGCTGAATTCATGCTTCACAAGCATCCTCAGGTTTGCTTTCCCTTGCTGCTGAGTGACTGACTGTGTAGTCATCATAAAGCTCTTTCTATCATTGTGAAATGAATGCAAATGTGTAATAAAAGAAAGAAGGAAAAAAAAAAAAAGAAAGAAACACACAATTATGAAGAATAATAAAAAAGAGGGCTAGTCACAATAGTAAAGAGAATGGTAAGAGAAGTGGGTGGGGACAGGGGAATATGAAATGGAATGGGATAGATCCTTAAAGTCTTTGTCCATCCTTTATTCTCCACCTAAGTCAGCAGTGAAATGGACTCGTGATGATTCAGAAAGAGGATCCTAGATGACAAAGGACAGAAGAAAGGGAACTATTCTTCACTTGCATTCTGATCCCAGGAGTGTGGGGGTCTCTCACAAAGTGCAGGGAAAGGAGGACGGACCTGCAGTTCTGGGAGAATGGCAGAAGTTGTGCGGATAGTGGTGTTTGTGATGGCTTTCATCAGCTGCAATGGTGAGTAAATGCTTCAATGTATAACAACAAAAAGCAGCGTACTAAGAGGGCAGGGGAAATCTTTTGAATTATAGTGTCTTACTTTTTAAAAATTGTCAAGTGTGGAAAGTCTTTAGTTTCTTGTATGAAAAATAGAGCCTGAGAATTCACAAGAGTCTCCTTTGGTACCAAATACAACAGGGTGCTTTTAAGAATGGAGCAAATAGGGCAGTATCGGGCAAAAGGTCAACTCCCGTGCCCCAAAGCAAAAACCAAACAGCATCATTCAGGACCCTTGGAGAGGATCTGCTCTGGTGTGCTAGCTTCCAAAACAGACTTTGTGAAGCTGAAATATGCATTCTTCTAGAATTTATTAATGCATCATTGTTGTTCTGATAGCATGGTCCTGGGAAGAAGAGGGGCTGTAATTGTAAGACTAGGTGTGGGCGCACGCATGATTCCCTTTGGCCTCTCCTGATCTACTGACTCCCTAGGTGCATTAGGAGAGGTGATACTGGAATCTTTGCTTCGATTCATATGCCCATGAGGCATATGTGCCACTCCTAGGCCACATCTAACACTGACACTGGCAGACGGAGGATTGGGGAAACAGGAGAAATGTGCTTTAACAGGTTCTATACAGAAGCACAGAATTGATCCTGACATTTAGAAAAATTGGTTGAAATATGTTTCCCATTTCACCATAAAAAAACCCAGCTTTGTAGATTTCTGGGATCTGCCTCTCAAGTGACTTAGTGTGAGTTAATGCAGCTGAACATAACCAGTGCCTTTATGGGGAGGGGAAAAGGGGGAACGGGATAAGAGGGTATGGTTAGAGGTGAGCCAAGTTCAGCTAAATTAAAATAATTTGCTACTTACAAGAGGCGTTTCCCAGAGGAGCTGTGGTCTCAGTGGGCAGGTGGCTGGAGTGACTGGGAGAATGATCTGGGTACCACCAAATCCACCCCCTCCTCTCCTGTGCCCACGTGAGTGCTTGGCAGAGTGATTATCTGGTTGAAGTGGGTATGATCCAAGAAATCTAGGTCAGATCTGAAGTTCTCTAAAACTAAAGCAATAAATTGGGTTTGGTCCACTATTCTTGTTCCAGATCCAGTACTTCAGAACAGATCCCTAAAGGCTCCTGCCTGCATGGCACTTCCATGCCACCAGGACAGCTGGTGCTGACAGGCTAGGAAGGAAGATGCTGAATCATTTTAGAAAATGGGACAGAATATATGAGTTCGGGTTTTTTCCACTATCATGCATTATGGATATTACAAATCCCTCTGATCAGTCGTCAGATCTCTAACATAGCCCTTCAGGTTTTCGCCTATTTCCCTCCAGTGGAAGAATTCACATTGCTTGTCTGGAAGACTACATCCCAGTTTAAGTGTTACTAGGAGGAAATACTTCTTTTAAAAATGCTGTCTCAGAGGGCTTTATTTCACTGAGTTTCTCCCATTCTTTCCAATCATCTATCCTTTGGAATCATCTCTGCTAATGTTGAAATTGGTCACATACAGAGTGCAGCTGCTCCGCAGGGAATCAGTGGATGCTGGCAGCTATTTCATGACACACAGCAGTGCAAAACAATATGGGAGAGATGTTCAAACAAAACTGTGTCCAGATGAATACACTGGATAGTAAACTTACTTGAATTTGAGTGCACCAAATGCCTTGAGGGTACTTCTAAGACGTTTTCTAAATAGCTTCCACCCTTCTTAGATTTTCTTGGTGGGAGTCTGTGAAAAGAGGAATAAGAGAAACGGAAAACCTTTAAAAACTGATACATCAAAGAGTTGCATTTGATTGGGATGTGAGATTTGAAGAATGGAGTGTGCCTGCCCTCTCAAAGACATCCTGTAAAGGAAAACCAAAGCTCCATATCAGAAACAAGCTTCCACTATGCTCAGCCCCAGCAGTCCCCTCAGTTCTTGTGGACACAGATCCACAGATGCTTGCCTTCCCCCAACTGGCACCTCCTGCTAGCTCTGAGACACACTCTTGCACAGAGACGTGCTTCTCCTCGCACAGCTATATTGCAGGGTCCTGTGAGCACCAGGGAAGTTGCACAAAAAATAGTGATGTTAATGAATGCAAATATGTTGCGTTCATTGTTAGTTGCAGTGAAGCAGTAAACTTGCTTTGTTCATCCTTCCTCCCATACAGAAGGTAGAAGTCAGCACTGCAAGTGGTGTCAGAGCATCCCGTGTCAGTGGGGGGAGGCTTTTGCTGTTTGACTCATCATGTGCAAGTGTAAGCAGAAGTAGGGTGTAAAGGCTGGGGCTAGACAGCATGAATAAGAGATGCTCCTTAAGGTCTTGTGAAGACTGTAACTGTGATGCTGCCAAAAGGAGCAGGATCTGTGCCTCTCTGTACCAAGAAGGAATTGAGAACTGGCAAGTGTCCAGAGAGAAACAATGAAAATAGCCATGAGGTCTAAGCAACTGTTCACTTCCCTATGCTCACTGCGGTGGGGACAGGCCCTGGTTTAGCTGGCTGTGGTCTACAGCACATCTAAGACGTGGCCACATACTGGCTTCCACCGCCTGGTGATTCCCATCTATCCTAACTTTCTCCTCTTCTACTGTGTTCTTATTTTTCCCGTTCAACTGTTGTTCCCTGCAGCCCTCCTGGATCTGTCTGGTGTCTACCAGGTCAAGGGCACATGGATGGAATCCACCACTTTACCATGTACTTATGTGCCCTCAGAAGGTTTCACACAGCAAACGCTCAGATGGAGCATGGAGCGAGACTATAGCACCTCTACCATCTTTCGGAGGGACGATTCTGGTGACCACATCTTGTTGTCTCAGTTCCGAGGCCGGGTCAGTGTCCCAAAGCACAGCCCAGGGGACGCCTCACTCCTAATCAAGAACCTTGAAATCCCTGACAGTGGACACTACACCTGTCAAGTCATCTGGAGGTCTGAAAATAACAGCTTGATAACAAAGGAGGTGACCACTACAGTTAAAGTTGTCAAAGGTAAATGCAGCAATAAAGCCCTGCTCTTGTGTAACCAGCCTAATACACAGAGCATGTAGAAGAAGCAACTAGTGGGAACAGTCTTTCATACCATACTGGCCACCCACACCCAGGCTAGGTGTTGATGCATTCTCCTCCTTTGTTGTGTTAGCCCTTCTTCTCCACTTGTGGAGGCGTAGGGATGGACTGGGGAAGGGGGATCGGGTAGTATATACCCCAGTCTGGATCTACCAATGGGACACTTGAACCCCTGGTGCTTGAGGTAACATCCAGATCTGGTTTTGGTTTTGTGTAAGTAGGCAGCATCTCTGTGGTTCTTGTAGCAAGTGGGACAGCCCATGGGTGTTGTACTAGCTAAATCTGCCTTCTCCCCTTCCCAAGCATCCTCAGTGTGTGCTAGAAAAACCTGTCTTTCTGCAAGGGGGACATGCACTCAATATAGCTCAACTTGTATGATACGGCAGTAGCAATGGTGGCATAGCTGGTGTAAATTTGTCTTTAGGCACAGGTGAACCGAGCTTAACCTGTGCAGAGAGGTGATGTGAAAGCAGTGCCCCTCTTCCTCCTGGGAAAGCACTGAAAGCCAGAGCAAGAACTGCCATGGAGGAAGGCAGGAACCTTCCTCACCGCAACCAGGGCCAGCGTGACCTGGGCCCCATCTGCTTTGTCTTCCAGTTGCAGTGACCAAGCCCATCATCAGGGCCAGCGAGCTGGGGCTGACTTTCCTGCCAGGAGCCAGGACCAGCCTGACCTGCGTGGCCAGCGGGTCCCCTCCCATCAGCTACCGCTGGTTCAGAGGTGCCCCGGGAGGGGAAGCCCTGCTCCTGAGCAGCCAGGCCGAGCTGGCGTGGGACAGCCTGCAGCCCTCCGACACCGGGAAGTACTACTGCGAGGCAGAAAACAGGGTTGGGGACAGGGCTGCGCAGCAGAGCGATGTCGTTGAGCTGACGGTGAGAGGTGAGTCCCCAGCCTAGAACTCCTCATCTCCACTGCACAAGCTGGGCCAGAGCTACCCACAGCTGTACCCCCGGGGCAGCAGCAGAGTCAGTGCTAGAGGGACCACATCATGGGAAACTGGGGGGGCTGCACTGCTTCAGCAAGAGGTCACCTGGGGCAAGAAACCTGGCTTGGGGCTTCATGTGTCAGGGAGCCTTAAGGTGCCACTGTTAACCGTTCCCAGACCAGCCAGGGAGTCACTGAAGCAGAGATGAAATGAGAAAGTCCTGTGAAAGCCTGGATGAGTTCCAGCAGGATGAAGCCAAAGCATTCCCCGGTTGTGGTGTAGCCAGCCACAAGTGCTGGCACAGAGACGTACCATGTCAGCCAGGGCTGCCAGGGACCCCCAGGGGTGATGGCCTGGGATGGGAGGACACGAGTGCCACATGCTGCCTGCAAGCCTGCCAGCAGAACACACGCAGGATGACACATCAGGGATAAAAATCTGACTTGTTGCTCCCAGAACAGGTCCAATGGGTGTTTTCTTTCTGTTCACCTCAGATGTGTTAGCCTGAGAGAATCAAAGCAGTGTACTTGACAAAACGGGGCTGGTAGCTTCAGGGCAGCAGTTACGCCCAGTCCGGGAGAGCTGTACTGCTGAGCCCCCAGTGCTGGGCAGCTGGACGGGCTCACTGGCGAGCAGAGATTGCTGCCCACCCCGCTGCCACTTTGCAGAGCAAACCCAGCTCTCCCGATGCTGCAGGGCAGCTCGGGGAAGGGTTACATCGCACTCACCCTTATGCTTTGGCAGATCTGCCCACAGCGACACCGGTGTTGGGGACAGATGCCGTTTCGGAGGGGCCTCCCATTGCCACAGGTGAGTGGTCTCGTGCTGGAAAACACAAAATTCACACTAACGAGGGCAGGTTGATGAACGCAGTCTGCAGACCGAACATCGAGCCTGGCTGCTGCATTTCGCGGCAGATACACTGCCGCAGGGACCGAATCCCCGGCCTGACAAACATCGGGTTTTCTCTAGGGAGGAGCTGCCCTCCCGGCCACCCATCCGCAGGCCTGCCCGAGTGGGCTTATTGCCTCAAGTTTCCTTCGTGTTTCTGCCTGATAGGGGCTGAAAACGCTCACGCTGACCTCAGCCCCGGCCCGCGGCGGTCGCAGGCGGCAGTTGCGGGTTTCGGTCGGGTTTTGAGCACGTCGAAACGCGTGTTCAAGGCGCGGCGCGGCTAACGCGGGGGGGTGGGGGGGCGCGCTGGGCTCCCCCCACCGCCGCTGGCACCGCGCTCCCGCCTCCGCAGGTGCCCCCCGGGCCGCGCCCGCTCCGCGCCTCTACGCGCTGGCGACCGCGCTGGGCGGAGCCGCGCTCCTGGCGCTCCTCGCCGTGCTGCTGCGCCGGTGGCGGAACAAGGCGGGTGAGCGGAGGGACGGGACGGGGATGGACGGGGCGGGCGGAGGCGGGAGCGGCGAGAAACCCGGCCCAGGGGCGGGAGGGGTGGCAGAGGGCAGCCCCGGGTCCGCGGGGACGGGGCGGGCGGGAGGGCGAGGTGCTCGCCACGGGCTCCATCCTGGGCCCCCCCAGCCCCAGCCGGCCCCTTCCAGGGAGAGGCAGGGTGAGAGAGTTATTCCTGAAGGTGAGAATACCTGGAAGGAGCTGGGGGCTTTTCCTGTGGCACATAAAATATGTTGATGCACACCTTCAATTCTTCTGTTTTGTTTTGTTTTTTGTTTCTTTTTTTTTTTTTTTACAGAACCTCTCTATGAAGTTGCTTTGTGAGTACAGTTTTTCACCTGGGATGTCAGGAAGACTTTAAGGGCTTCGTACTGATGTCTGTTTCCAAAAAGCCTCTTTGCTCAGTGGAAAGCCAAAGATTTCTTTGACTTGCAGGGGGAAGATCTGAATACCTTGACGGTCCATTTAGTTAGCAGCATGAGGTCGTTAACATTTTAGTGCAGGAGGTAGCAAGAGTCTGTTCTTTAATATGTTAGAATGAGAGAAAGATATTCTGGCTCCTTCGCTCTGCCTTGCAGATGCCATGGGAAAACTGTTCTCCGTAATAAATTCCCACCATTATTTCACAAAGCAAAGGACAGGAATTCTTAGCTCTTCCCTCGAGATAAGTTCCTTCTATACATGCCTTTCTCTGTAAGAAACACATCCCAGTTCTTATCCAAGTATTCCTTTGTGTAATTCCTATCTGCTTACAATTATATAAACATATCTTCTGCCCTGTCCTAATCTCAACCTTTAATCCCTTCATACTACTTTCCTATTCAGAGACATGCCTTAGTCATCTGTAGCCTTACACACTGCCATTTTCCCCAATTATTACTGGTAGTTATTTTCTAAAGGCCAGCCTATCTTCTGGTAACTCTTTTGAATATAATATGATAATGCCATGAGAGTTTATGGTACCCATGTTAAGTGTTTATTGCTTCTAGTGTCTTTCAGAGCCTCTCAGACTCTCACTACATTAATATAAATTTTGCTGTTCCACAGATTATGTGATAGATCTTGTCTTTGACTGAGATGTAAATCAAATTACTTCTGATTTAGTTGCTGTTTTCAATAATGTCTCTCTGTTGTTTCAGCCATAGCACTGCAGATGTCACAAGATTGGAGACTGATGTGGAAGACCCTCTTCAGTGCCTACATGAGGAGACAAATTCTAAGACTGAAACATCCAGTGACACTTTCACCATGAAATACAACAGTCAGGACAGCATATGCATCAGGAAAAATCCTGAGTATGAGAACCTTGTGAATTCAATGGAATCAGAATATGAAATAGCAATAATTTAGTAGAGTACCAGCTTTTCCACATGAGCAGCCATGCAGGGCTGCAGATACTGAATGGTAAGCTTTACCAAAGGAAACACTTCCTCCTGTCTGCCTTCTACTCTGATAAATATACCAGTCTCACTGCTTTCTTTAACCCAGGGGAACTGCATAACCTTCTTAGGCTTTGGCAAATGAGGCCCAGCCTGTTGGTGCAGAAACCCTCAGCCAAGTGGTTATCTACCTACTTTTATAGAACGAATAATTTCTGAGCAGCCTGAAGGACCAAGGTGAGGAAGAGATGATCTAAAGGAGTGGAAGCACAAATGTCTTTAGCCTGCAAATCAAGGTGTAGCTGGCTGCAAGGCTGCTAGCCAGGAACACTGGCAAGGTGTACTCTCAGTTTGTGTTCCCATTAGGACATCCCAGATTGCATGGAGCCAGAGATTTTACTGGAAATGGATATCCTCTGGCTTTTACAGCTCACCAAATACTGGTTGTGCATCCTGCTTGTCCTTGAGTCTTTTTTATTAGAGGGACCACACAGTGGGGGGTTGATGCCCCAGGAATGTCATTTTTACTACCAGTCTGGAGCTTATTGCTTAGAGGAAGAGGGACTGGCCCTGTAGGTGATGAGCCTCCTAACTGCCACCCTCTGGTGTTCTGGAAAAACAGAATTAGTGTTGAAGGAAATGCTAGCATTTTGTTTTTACAGTGTGGGGGAAGAGGCATAATAAAATAGAAATTTGAGGCATTTGTAATCATGATTGAGCACAGGACCCCTCTGGACACAAAAGACTGACAGTAGTTCACTCACAAATCAATCTGTGTGATTACAACAGAGATATTAATGCTGACTTGTGTTACGGGGATACTGTGAGTGCTCATGTTTGTATAACGCCTTGAAAAGTGCTTGATTAGAGCAATGTATTTTCTTTCCTGGGGCAAATACAAAAGTATTCAAAGGATTTTGTTGCATGTGAATTCTGACTTCCTTGATACTTCACCATCCAGCACCATCATTTTTCTGTTGCTTGCAAATTTATACTTTTTCTCACTCTTCTGATTTAATTCTACAGAACAGGCAGGGGTACAGTCATGGCCATGGTTTGACTTGGAAGTTTGACTTGGGTTTCCCTTTTAAAGAGGAGAGGACAGGCAGAGGGCATGAAGTCAGCCCACACCAGACTCCTTGCATGGCTACACCTCACCACACCCCCCAAAGCTAGTTTTCAGGGCCATGGTGATGCCTCTACATGCAAAGTCACAAACCTGCAGCTGCCTACTACAGTGAGAGCCCAGTAAGTCACGGTGCTCCAAAGAATGATGATGTCAGGCTGAGGCCTGGAGTCAGTGGAATAATTCTCATTTCTGTGAGTTGATTAGAAGCATCAATGGTTGAACTGGGCACTTTTAAGTCCGAAGGTTTTCCATTAGCACCTTTCTTCCACATGCTTCATCTAGTTCTAGGGTTTTTTTTAGGGATTTATCACAGCAGAGTGTAAAGTGTTATGCTACCAAATCACTGTCAGAGGTTAGAATAACTCTGAGGATTCTTAATACTGATTCTTCATTCACTGTCAGTGGAAGGTTAAAGTCTGCTCAAGAGCCTGAGAAGAGACGTCATCTAAATGGTTTTACAAACTTACTTGTGGTTTAGCTCAGGAGTTAAAATCCTTTACTTTAATCTCACACCATTGTTCAACACATTGATTTGCTCTAAAAAGCAGCTGCTTTAAAAAAATGTTCTGCAGCTCTCTTTATGTTGGTTCTTGGAGACACAAATCAAAGATTCTCTTCCAAATGGAAAATAGCTCCATGGCCAACCGGGACACCAGCTGAGCATCGCAGCATCGGACGGTCGTGTTGGCTCCACGGGGCTGACAGGAGCACATGAAGCTGCTGCTACCCCAGTGAACTAATGCCCCGACCACTGAATCTGGTCCCAGGGAGCCATGGTGAGAAAAGGTATCTCTGCATGCTGAAAAAACATCTCCTATCTACTTCCTGAGCACGGAGAGGCTGGGAGGATAGACCCCAGAGCAAGGCAGAAGACAGCAACAGTGAGATACAGGAATTCACTCGCTCCTGAGAGACCATTTCCTACACACATGTTCCATGCCAGAACCAGGCCAGGAGAAGTTGCTGCAAAGCACCATGACTGTGGCTTTGGAAATGCCCTGGCAGCAAATGCACAAGCACTGCTGGGAGGAGGTGTTGTGGTTTAACCCCAGCCAGCAACTAAGCATCACGCAGCCACTCGCTCACTCCTCCCCCCTCCAAGTGAGATAGGGAGGAGAATCGGAAAAGAAGTAAAATTCGTGGGTTGAGATAAGAATGGTTTAATAACTAAAATAAGATATAATACAATAGTAACAATAACAAAATTATAACACTACCAATGAAAAGGAATATAATAGAAAGAAGAAAATCCAAGGAAAGACAAGTGATGCACAATGCAGTTGCTCACCACCTGCTCACTGATGCCTAAGCAGCAATCTCCCCTCTCCCGGCCAACTCCCCCCTCCAGTTTATATACTGACCATGACATTCTACAGTATGGCATATCCCTTTGGCTAGTTCAGGGCAGCTGTCCTGGCCATGCTCCCTTCCAGCTTCTTGTGCACCAGCTCACTGGAATAACATGAGAAACTGAAAAATCCTTAACTTCGGATAAGTGCGATGTAGCAACAGCTAACACATCAGTGTGTTGTCAACAGTGTTCTCACACTAAATCCCAAACATAGCACTGTACCAGCTACTAGGAAGAAAATTAACTTTATCCCAGCTGAAACCAGGACAGGAGGGCAGAGCAGGTCCCACACCACCAACCCAGAGGCCCTTGGGCAAGGGGCACGGCCGATTCGGCCCAGCAGAAGACTACGGGGTCCACCCACAAGCATTGGCATTTCTGGAGGGCGAAAGGGGTGGGCAGCCAGGCTGTCATGATGCTGCTCTGGGCATGGGGTCACTGTGCTGCTGCTGCTGCTGGACCTCATCTGGAGGACCACAGCTCCTGCCTTAGCCCAGAAAGGCAGGAGAGGCGGCTACCAGCTGCCACAGGAGGAAGCGGCTGGTACCCGAGCAGCCTTACAACAGGGGGAGAGGAGGAGGCTAATCCTTCAGGAGCAATCGCGGGTGCTTTGCAGACAGAGGGTGGGAGGGTGGGCCGAGAGTTGGGGTTCCGTTCCAATAGTGACACTGACACTCTGGCAGAGAAGAAATACCTCTGCTCAGCTGAAGCATGTCAGGGCTCGGAGTGAGACACCAAGTCTCGAGGAGGGTGCCTGAAGCTGCGGGAGCCCTCTGTATGCCAGGAGAAATGAGGACACAGTGCAGATGTGTGCTCAAGACTTTGGGGACAGGGGGCATTATCTTCCTCCTCTTCTGGTGCTTGCAGGCTTTGGAGCTGTTTGGCCAGTATCTCTTCTAGATCAGCTGTACTTCTGCTGCTGAATGCTCTAAAATAATGAGATCAGCTTAAAAATAAGCCCACATGCTATTAGGTATAAGACTCCTCTTGGAACGTGCATTTTGGCTTTTCCTTTTTTGTCAGGTGGTTCATGAGCTTTAAGACCATACTTTGCATTTCCAAGGTCTTCATCTCAAGGAAGAGGGCTGATATGTACTGTCTGTAATGCAAAACTCATCACTTTGGTTAACTCTGGATTTTGTGCAGCCCTGACAAGGAGTCCCCAGATTGTGATCCCAGTGCTAATGGGGTGCAGGCTCTGCTGTGGGGCATGCGATCTGTCACTGCTGCTTAAACCCACCCCAGGGCATCCCTGGATCTCTAGCAAAAATAAAACAGAAATGTTCCTTTTATAAAAGCAGCAAGGCTGTGTGCTTAGCTGTTCCTGCCTTCAGCTGAAGTGCATTTCCTGCAATATGCTCTGTTACTCAACAGCCTGGTTTGCTTCCTCATTGTTAATCATTTGCAGCTTACATGTAAGGGTGGTGCTGGGGTGCTGTCATGGTGCTCTGCCCTCCCTATCTGTTGGAGATCTCCAGGCAGTGTCCCTCCATCCTACAGGCTTGGCAGGCAGACTGGATCAGGGAGGGGGGAATGCCACCTGGCTTTAGCAAAGCAAATTTGTAGGAAGATTTATTGGCTTTAATTAAATCAGTCAGTGCAGCTGAGGGAGCATGGGGAAGCAGATGAGTTCTGGCTCACTCAAGCCCTCCTTCTTGGCACTGACTTGCCCCTGCATGGCTTTTGCCTCTGCTGCCGTGGATCTGCCCTTCCCAGGTCAGCAGCCTAATAGCACATCCATGTAGCTTTTTATGGCCTAAGTGCAGGGAAGGAGAGCCTCACTTTTACCTTTAGTGCTCTGAATTACAATGAAATTTCTTCTTCAGGACACTAGGTGATTATCAGGCAAGAGCAGAGAGAAAAGTCCCCTGCCCGTATTACAAAGATTTCATAAACACAGCAAGAGAGATGCAGGGACAGTTGTGCTAGTGTCGGGCAGCAGCAGGCAGGGCCTGCCTGTCCTCGTAGGGGCTATGGCAGTGCCAGGCCCCACTCCAAACACTGGTCTCTTAGCTCTCAGACCTGGCCAGCTCCCCCCATCCCAGCTAGAGAAGAGGAGAGCTGTGCCCTGACCAAGGGCAAGCACAGGGACCATTAGAAATGTGTGTGAGGGTCTCTTGTGCTTTGCACCTGGGGTGAGGTAATTCACCCCACACAGCATTGTGTTTGCTGTAGCTGGTGCATACATTCCCCTGGAAGCTGGCCTTGGAGACATCGTGCTAGAGCAGCAGCTGCTGCTATCAGTGGTCTCAGAGGTGGTGGAAAAAGAAATTAGGAGAATGGGGAGCTGCAGCCATGCTCATGCAGGGCAGAGGTGTGTGGTGCGAGGTCAATGTTGTGTGGGAAGGGAAGTGAAAACTTGTCGGCTTCCCCATCCTCACCTCAGCAGATCCAGGCCCAAAACACAGGACATGGCACTCTTTTTTTACTTCTGCAAGTGTCATCCTCATTAATTTTCAATTAGCCTAGTGTTTTATGCAAGATTTGCAGCCATTATAAGCTCCCAGCTTCAAGTTCCCTCACTGACTATGAAACACCATTATTTTTCCCACTTTTGATTCCTCTCAGCACTGATCTGCTCTCAGGTGTGGGCAACTTCTTCAAAAGACCTGAAGCCTGGGAGAAGCTGCAGAGGAAGATGGCAACAGGAGTTAAGACAGAGGTAGCAGATGCCCCAGCTAGAGCAGACACTATATACCTCATGTTGGCACTGTCTCTAGCTTGGGCAACAAAACAGCTTTGGTCCTAAGCAGCAGAACAGTGAAAACACAAAAAGCCGCTCTCCAGTGCAGAGGTGGTTGGTTCTCCTTATGCAGCAAGTGTGGGATTATTTTTTTATTTATATTTTTGGCACGCTTGGTAGTAAAACCTGTTGGAAACAGAACATTTTTCTTTTGACAGTCATGGAGGGATTTTCTGTGTTGTATTACTGTCAAACAAGAGAACTTCTCCTTTCCTCATGCTGGTCACTCACCCAGAGACATGACTCATTTGCTGAGCGCCAGCTCTGCTCCAGCATAGAAGGGGAACCTCAGCTTCCGCTCCAAAACTACACTGCCTCCAAAAAACACACTATTTCTAGTGGCCAGCACAATGTCATGAGACTTGCAGCTCCCCTTGCTTTAGAGCAACTGAAGTGCACGTACAACAGCAGGAACTTCTTGGCTTTTACACTTACCAGGTTTTGCCCTGGCCTTCAGAGCCCTTCTGAACCTGCTGCTCTCAGCAGAGAGAAGGGAGAGGAAGTCTCAGAGAAATTTGTCCCACTGTAATTTGGTATTTGTTCTTGTAAGAGAAGAAAGGGTTAAATTTCTTCCCCTTCCCCCCAGCCATCTAGAAGGAAGTAGGGGTGTTATTTAAAAAGTAGAGGGGAAAAAAATCTACTAAAAGTAAAAACTGGAAATGCATAAGAAAACAATGATGAAAAGCATAAAT